TGCTGATTGTCTCAGGTATGGCGGACTGTACTGCCAATTTAACTTTGAATCATCACCCAATGTGATTGTGACGTTGCGGGTCACTGACAGTGGATCACCATCACTGAGTGCAGTCTTCAAACTTACTATACAACTGAAGGACATCAATGACAAACCAAGGCAACTCACTATCAGCAATAGCATTGTGAGTGTTGGTAGACCTGCTGGTTCAAAACATTAAAAAAATACCTTGGATCTTTTCGGAAAGAACCCTATGGTGTAGGACATTTCACCATCAAATTGATTTTGGCTTGCTATTTCTGGATGCAGTGAATGGGATTCTCGATCTTTAACCACTTTGTTGGGTCTGATCTCCTCACCTCCCACCGCTTTAGGAGCTGCATCTGCGCCTTGATCCTTGAAGGGTGGTGGCGTTCCTATGGATGCGGAAAACTCAGCCTTCAGCCGAGTCTGACGCGAGCCGTGAATTGTTTTTCTTTTTTTGTGCTATATGTTCATTCTTGACATGTTGTATGTGATAGGTGCAAGAGAATGATCCAGCTGGAACAGTGGTTGGAGTATTCGCTTATACTGATGAAGACAAAGGACAAACTCATCAAGTGCAGCTGGTTGATGATGATAATGGTCAATTCAAACTCAGTCCTGATGGTACAAAGTTGCTGAAGGCCAAGTCTACAGATTATGAAACCAAGACTGTACACAAAGTCACTGTGAAGGTCACAGACAGTGGAAACCCTGCTATGTCTGTAAGTCTTCACTGACTGACTGGGTTCTAGGATAAGAAGTACTACAGTCGTCCCTCTCTAATCTGGCACTTGTTTATCCAGCACCCTTGCAAACCAGCACACTTTCTGGCAAAACGAATTTTTTCAGCTCATTTTCTACGCTTTAATCCGACACTTGAATTCCGCCTCCAGCAGCGTTTTTCTGCAACAAATCACTCAAGCTGTACATAATTCGATTTTCTAATCCAGCAGTTGTGCATTGCATACCGTCAGGGAGTATTGCAACATACACAACACATGTAACGTACACTTGGGAATATCCTGTGCAGGGGCGTAGGAGGGGTTGTGGCAGTGGTACGACCGAAGGTTCGCGCGTCCGAAGGCCGTTTTGAAGGGGGTCCAGGGGACCTCCCCCGTGAAAATTTTGTAAAAAAAGACACAAAATCCTGCGTTCTGGGACTGTGCAGTGTGCAGTCGAGTCGAGTACAGTACTCAGTACGACTGCAGATGCATGGCAGATCTACGAGTACGAGTCTAGAGAAAGGTCAAAGTCCGGCGCGCATATGCATCGATAGATCCTGAAATTTTTTATTACGGTTTTGCACGTTCCGGACGGACCACACTTTTCGAAAAGTGGTACGGCCATGGTCGTACCAGTCGTAGCGGGTGCTACGCCCCTGCTACGCTAGTGCATAGGATATTCCCGGGAAGTGTATATAAAAGACATGCATTCCACACAGTACTTGGATTGACACAGAAACTCCCTACGTTTCGACGTACGACACAGACATGTATGTTAACAGGTGGGCCGGGTTGGAGGGCAGGATTTGATAATCCAGCACTCTTGTTTATCCAGGAGAAAATGCCGTTGCAAAAGGTGGAGGATTAGGGAGGGACGACTGTATCTTTCTTTGAAAAATCCCAGCTGAAAGGTTTCCGTATCCATTGTTCCCATGATGATTGCTGTATATGTTGCTTGTGGATGACTTGGCTTGGTCTGTGAACTCCGTAAAGGCGGCAAAAGGGAATTGCAATGTGAAGAATAGGTTGGTGCGACTTCGGCTATACACAGGGAGTTGTGTGTCACTCCCTACGTGGGAGCTCGCGCTTTTCCTGCCGACTTGAATCTCACTTAACTGAGGGAATTGTTTAACAACTTTATAGCATATATTATTGTGTAGCCGCATGCGGAAAGCTGTAGTTAACCAATCCATCCCACGTAGAACTTACGGAGGCTGTAGTTTAAAGCCACACATATGCTTTAGTTTTCTGGGGAGCCAAGGGCCAGGTCAAGGGCCAGGGTGAGATGCGCCTACAGGAAAGGTGAAATTGTTTGAATTGTCAATAAGCACATTACGAAATGTAATTAAGTGACAATTCAAATGCCACCCCTCCCCGAACTTGCCGCATGTTTGTCTCCCTAAAATGAATGGTGCAATTATATGGGGAGCAGTGTACATGGAAAACAAACTGAGGAAAGCTTATGTTTCTTTGTGCTTTTCCTGACACTTTCTTTCAGATCGTGAAGAATTTCTCCATTAGTGTCACTGATACGAATGATCAACCATACTCTATAAGCTTCTCATCGAAAAATGGTCCGTCGTCATTTCCTGTGGATAATCCAGAACTCCCGGAAAACACCAAACCCGGAACTGTTGTTGGTACTATTGAAGGTACAGATTTGGTAAGTATTCATCATTAAGTCAGTAGACAAATAGTGAACCCGTCTTAACCGAACGCACTTGGTCCAGCGGAAACTGTCCTGATGTGACATTCCGCTTGGTCCAGGGATGCACATTCCATCCACAGCAATTCGGCACATGTACATAATTATAATCCTTGGAAGGGGAAAGACTTGTAGTGCCCGTTGGATTCGCCTTCTTCTTCTCTTTACCTAAGTTTACAGTTTTGTCCTTGACATCCCTGCAAAACATTAGTAGAATGTTACTTAACATGTACAGTTGTGGCCAAAGAAATCCAAACCACGTGCCGAAAGCAGCGCCAAGGCTCCTGCGGCCCCTGCGGCCCTCGGGTCAGTTTTTGTGAACATGAAGGATGCAATTGAATTGGAAACACGGCGCTACTTTTGACTTGAGGGTCGGATCTCTTTGGCCATAACTGTACTTCAGTAGTTGCCGGTGGGATTACAGAGTGACCTCAGGATATCAGGTAGAAGAAAAATACGACCTTCCTTCTATGAGGGGTGTATAAATTTCCTTGTAAACTTAGCCTGAGCTGTCGCTTTGTTCTCTGAGCTGTCCCTTTGTTCTCTGAGCTGTCCCTTTCTTCTGTTCTGTTTTGTACTACCTATGTCCAGCATAAGCGAATGTGTGGGCTGACCAAGTGTCCTCGATACTTGCTTGGCAGACGAAATAATAAAAATTAATTAAAAAACTTAGTGTTCGATCTCCTTGTTTGATGCTGTCAATGGTTCTATTTGCAGGATGCCAACCAGAAGCTCACCATCTCCCTGGATAACAATGCTGGCAATCGCTTTGCTGTTTCTTCAACATCATGTACATTTGTAAGCAATGATATACCCTAGCAGTGCCATTTGCCATGGTTTGTTTGCTCTGTTGTTGGCTGCAGGGTGTGTTCCATTCCTTAGGAAATGGTTGCACATTTTCTTTTCGTATGACAACCTGTACATCTTCACAACACTCTCTAAACGGTCTCTGGGCTACACCAATCAATAGAAGAAAAAAGAGATACTTATTCGAATTTTCGGAAAAGGCCTGAAGATGGGCCTTATCTCGATTTTCCTTTTATTGATTTGTGTAGCCTAGAGACCGTTTAGAGAGTGTCATGAAGATGCTGTGGAAGGCTACAGTGGAGTCCTCGCACTTTGAGATATGACAATCTGGTTAAGTCATATCTTCGTTGAAGTGCTCTGACATTTGAGAAGCATGATGGGCAGTTATTATGGTCTCCCACAATATTGCTTGACCCACATCCATACATGTACGTAGTCAGTTGCAAGTAGGAAAACATGCAAAGATAATAGAGACAGTTATAAGAAAGAGCCGAACCAGACCCTTGCTGTTGGCCAGCCATGCTTTAACTGTCTAGTTGCGCACATTGGGTTTGTTTGAGACCATGATTAAAAAGCGAGCTGTATCTGGTTCAAGTTTCCAACCGTGCTGCTTTCCACAGTCAGCCGGGAGAGATGTGGCGAGGCACCAAGGGGTACATGAATATGGCTAATGAGGCTTTCAACACTAGTGTCAGGTGGTTGTGAAACTAATCCCCTCACCCCACCTTCGGGTGCTGCGTTTTCCGCTTGCTTATTCCAATGTAAGCTCCCATGATGAGTTCCCTGGCACAAAAATTAACTTTTTACGGTCAAATTATTACTGAGTTGGCTGTTCAATATATTTCTCTGTATGCTGTTGAATATCTCTTTGCAGACATCATCAAGCACGTGCACAGCCCTGGTGACTGTATCAGGCAGTTTGGATCATGAAGACTCGTATCAACATCAAGTTGTAGTTCGGTTGACGGATCCGGGTGGATTGTTCAAAGTCAGGAAATTCACCGTCAAGATATTGGATGTCAATGACCCTCCTACGGTGAGACACTTAGAGAGCATCTCATAAGTTCGCATTTTTTTCTAAACATAACGCATTTCGAAACGGGGAAGGGGGGTGGGGGGTAGCGCCCTTTTGGAATAGAAAATAACAGTTCACACATTTTCTGGATCTGTGCTCTGCATGTGCTAGATCACTTCAGCAGGGTGTCTTTAGGTGTAGATCTACCTGTGTCTGCAGGTCAGCTAACCCTGCACTGCATGTAAACAATCATGCAGGTCAGCTAACCCTGCACTGCATGTAAACAATCATGCAGGCTACTCTGAGGTGTCAAATGTCACACCAGCATCGTCAAACCGTGTACCTCGCCAGCTTCCACAGTACACGGTCGTTGCGGAGGAACTCTGTTTATGTGCGTGTACACATCATTGATTGTGACTTGGACTCAGTAGATGCGGTGCTACTGTGCGCCAATCACTTCAACACTAGCAACACATTCAGGTACATGTACATGACATGTGCGCGTGCATACCATGGCATGCATGGGCATGGACATGTACAGTAGTACATCCACACTGAAAATGTGCGATAATACTTTCAATAGTGGGGGGAGGTAGGGGGGGGGGGGTAAAGTCTATTCGAAATGCGTTCTGTTTACAAAAAAAGTGCGAACTTCTGAGATGCTCTCTTAGTTTGTTGTAGTGCTGAATTGTAGCCAGACAAAGTGTGAACAGCACCACATAAGGCCATGGGCAGCTTGTGATGTTCTGTTTAGACCACAACAGGGCTGTAGGAAAACCACTGCCACACAAGGTTGTAGTCTTGCACGAAGATCCCCTCCTCTGTATTGAAGTACACCTTGATGTACGCCATCAGCTCATATTTTCTCGTTTATGGCATTACATGTCTACTGTTTGTACTGTGCAGGATATTGTGTTGTCAAACGATGATATAGAAGAGAAGAAAGCAAAGAGTCTTGTTGGAGTTCTAACAGCTAAGGATCCTGATCTTGGTCAAACTTACACCTACACGCTAGTCAACAATGCCGGTGGAAAGTTTATGGTAAGGCGATTTTGAATGTCTTTGTTTCTCACATATGAAAGTACAGGTGAATTGGGTGGAATCTCCAAAATTGGATTCTTAATTGTCAAATTGTCAAAAATCGATTGATAATGTAGTTTGATACTGTTGAAGAGTGAATGGGGAAGAGCGGGTCTGCTCTGAAACCACTTCCTATGATTGAAGCTGCAAGAGGCCTCACCACTGCTACCAAATTGTCAGGAAAACTAAAACTAAATGCTGACATTGCCAGACAGAGTTTTATTATGAACCACAGACACAGATTTGCACACATTCGAAACTGGTCAGTAGAGACTGCTTGCACACAATGAGCTGACTTGCTTTTAGTGTGTTGATCGCTCGAGTGCCGGTTTGGGACACAGGGTTAATACAATTATTTATCTTTCTCCCCATGTTCACATGTGATTGTGCTGACGATATTTGGTTTGACTGCGTTCGTTTCACATTGTCTTAGATCTCTGGTAATGAGCTCAGAACAACTGGTGCTCTGGACTATGAGGCATCAGCATCATTGACAATTCGTGTTCGTGTGACAGACAGTGGCAGTCCAGCACTAAGCTATGAGAAGAATTTTGTTATCACAGTTATCGATGTGAATGAAACACCTACAAGAGTACAATTGTCAAATTATCTAATCAATGAAAACCCCAAAGTGGATACTGTCGTTGGAACGATTACAACCTCTGACCCAGATAATGCCAACAAGCTATGGCAGACATTCAGCTACAAACTGATTGACTCTGCACAAGGGATTTTCAAGATTGAAGGAAACCAAGTGAAGGTAAACAACTAGTTCTTGGAGGAGATCCGTAGAAGCATGTTTGACATTGTGGAGTTCAGTTATCATAGTTGTGTGGATACTTGTAAAGTTCTTTTTGCATCAAAGTTGCAGACGAGTACCTTGGAGTGGTTTAACCCTTTATGTACGGAAAAAATGTATGCAGACTGAATTTGATCTCGACTAAACTCAAATTCCATAATTGTCCGGGTCATAACTTTGGTCTCCTTTGGACGATTATTTTGATCTTGGCCTTCCTGGAAAGCTCGTTGCAAGAGGAACACATTGAGCCCACACTTGCCAACATGAAGGTCAAAACGCCAGCGCTACAGCCCAGCGTCTTAGTTGCAACGCCAATATCCCGACAGAAGTTGTCTTGTATCAGTCATATCGCTCTCCTTGCTCGTAACAACTAAAAATTCACAAACTGCCACAAGTACGGACTCGAGTACATGTGCCATTTTGAACGTGTTTCTACGTCACTGCATGCCCAGAATGATGGGGAAATCCCTCATTCAAATCTGCGCACGTGGCTATTGAGTGACATTTGCCGCGATGCGCCTTTCGAGCTTCGTAACTCTGGAACCGCACATCGGAGTACTTCAGCGATTGTTTCAATGAACAGCTTGGAGTTTTCTCTTTGACCTACATATTTAAGTTTTTGGAAATAACCCAGAAATGACCGAGTTACGATCGATTGACATTTTGAAAAGTTTCGATCCCAGGGGATCGAAAGTTGTACAGTCCGTACGCAAAGGGTTAAGGTGCTGTAACTCTGCTTTATTCACCTGCTCCCAGTCCCGTGCCATCTCCACACTTATACAAGGGACGACGATAACCGTCCATTTAGCAGACTTTATTTGTGACAAGATGACGAAAACACAACTAGACACGACCAACTCAAGACGAAGACTGCTTTTCAAACCACAGCAACACACGCATGCACCAACACCACGTACACACAATGTACACAAAATAACGTACTGCAACATAACTCCCTCCCAAGAGTAGATTCTAATAATAAAAATAGAGGAAGAAGAGGAAAGGATCACACCAATCACTCAATCACACCACACCCAGAAATAAGATACCTCTGCTACAGTCATTTCTTGATCTACACAAGCCAGAATGGATTCTGTGCGTAAATTTTATCTAAGCCTTGAATTGCCAAAACTTTGCTCAAAAGAGGGGGTGTGCATTATACTCCAGCAAATACCAGAGTCAACAAGTACATGTATGCTGGCTTCTTGTCCAGGTGGCAATACCCAATGTAGATTGTCTGAAGAATGGTGGGTCCTACTGTCGCCTGAATTATGAATCCTCACCTACTGTCAATGTCACAGTTCAAGTCACTGATAGTGGATCACCCGCGGAGACTGCAACATTTCCGCTCACCATCCAACTAAACAACATCAACGACCAGCCAAGACAACTGACTATCAGTAATACAATCGTAAGTTGATCTTAGTACCATCCATTGATTTCCAATTAATTGATTGATTTCCGCTGGGGTTTACCGGGTGTTAGCGGCCGTCGTGAGTTTCCTTCCGGAACGGACACGATTATTTACTTTTTCCTTACTTTTTATTGATTTCCAATGCCCCTCCTGCGCTGGGCTTGATCCCTTCTGGCCCTGTTATTGTGAGGATATACATTGATGTAGGAAGAATTTCATCTTACTGCAAATGGCATGTACGTACGTAATCATAATTTTCCTGATCACGGAGCGTGAGAACAGTTGAGTGGGTTCAGCCATGCATGCCATAGTACATGCTCTCCCCCCCCCCCCCCCCAATTGGTGAATCTGGTGTTAATCGGGGATGTCGCCAGAATGCCCACTACGTCATTCCTTTGTGCCTTTTGGAGGCAATCAGTGGTTCATGGCCCACGCGTTGAATTTTTTTAAAGTTAATGTACAAAGGGTGTATGGATTGGATTTGAATTTGCTGCTTCTGTCTCTCCTTCCAAAGCCATGTGGAGTTTCCAAGAAGCAACACCAATGGTAGAATGTGTTTTAGGATCCTGTGGCACAATCTAAAAAACGGTTTTATCCACTTATGCCTTGAAGTTTGTTTTGTTGCTGTATTAATTTTTATCACTGTTCAGGTGCAAGAGAATGATCCAGCTGGAACAGTGGTTGGAGCATTCGCATATACTGATGAAGACAAAGGACAAACTCACCAAGTGCAGCTGCTTGATGATGATAATGGTCAATTCAAACTGAGTGCAGACGGTACAAAGTTGGTGAAGGCCAAGTCTACAGATTATGAAACCAAGACTGTACACAAAGTCACTGTGAAGGTCACAGACAGTGGAAACCCTGCTATGTCTGTAAGTCTCTTCTGTGGGTTTCTAGGATTAGCTGCCTTTCACTGAACCTTTCAGGAAATAGTTAAAACAATTACCCGTTGCCCGTGTCTGTATTCCTGAAAACCATGTCTCTAACGTTGTAACCGAGTTCTTTGTTGTCTAATTTATTATTATTATTGATTTCTGTGAGTACACTGTTTTCCTGCTTGTACTTGTAGATTCAGCGTGATTTCTACATCAGTGTAACAGACAAGAATGAAGTACCACTGCTTCCCGTCTTCAAGGATACTAACGGACAACAAGTGTTTGCAGATGATCACGCTAGTGTGAATGAGCATCCCAAATATGGCAGTGTTGTTGGCACAATCTATGCATCAGACCCGGTCAGTAACCATCGACCAGTGTGATTTTTCATTTTTTTGTTTTCGGATGTGTTTAATATTTCAGTTCTGAACTAGCTAAGTGGAGAGTGACATAGAGCTCAGGTTGAAAATTATGTTGTTCAACCCAGAAAACTGTAAAATAATCGAATTATGGACTGAGACATGGAGCCAGTAATTATATTTGGGAAAGAACCGAACTTTACTCATTATTCATTGCTGCCCAGCAATTTATTGCCGAGATACTGCAGGGTCAGGTTGTGCGACATTGGGCACATTGCTGACTGATAAAACTGGTATTCAATGACCTGACATTGGACTTCTAACCAACAGATACCTATTATCAGGCCAAAGAGCTAGTATGACTTGCTAAGCAGTGAGGACTATGCTAGTCGTTGAGTGTCTGAAAATTCAGTTAGGACTGTGCCGAATGTCACACGTTCTGACTGTACAAATTGGTGGACGGTAACGCATGATAGTAAACTGTGTCCTTTCTTTCATTAGGCAAGAGGTTTGGATGGTCCACGACCATGGGTGAGAAACAGAGGGTACAGCCGTGTGGCGACACCAGTTAGTTGGGAACTTGTGTACTGTCACGAGTGAAACATGGGTACAGTGTACATTGGATTTGAATTTCGGTCTTTGACCACTTTAGTGGTGGGTCTGATTCTCTCACCTGCCACCGCTTTAGGAGCTACATCTGTGCTTTGATGTTGAGGGTGCTGGTGTTCCCACGGATAGGGAAAACTGAGTCTAACGGAGTCTTGCGCGAATTAGAAATATTATCCTTCTTCGAATAATATTTGGAGTAGTGAAACATTGGTTAAATTACATAACCTATAGGACACAAGTTGAGAGTTTTTCCTAATATTTGACTATCTATTGCCTCTGTTATATCCTCTGCAGGATTCCAACCAAACACTGAAGTTCACATTGGATGACAATGCGCAGGGAAAGTTCTCCATTGCACCAGTGGCTACTTGCACTTTTGTAAGCCTTAACCTGTCGCAATCTGTTTGTTCCATAGTAGACTTTTCACAGCTTTGCACATTACAGTCGACTCTACCTATAACGAAATCGCATAAAACGAATTTCGTGATAATGATATTATAGCGAACCGTTGTCCATGCTCCTGTTTGAGCCCATACACAATTGACCTTTTATAGCGAACAATTTTTCTTCGTCACCAAGATGCAATGTGTGATGGTCAATTTTAATTCAAGTACGGTGTATTAAGATATTCATCAAGTTGAGGGAGTTCAAAACGGGAAAAGTCTGGAGAACAAATTGATTGTCACCACCAGGGCTCGAACCAGAAACCCTTGCTTATGGCCAGCAATGCTCTACCACTAAGCTACGGTGTAGTCGTCATCCAAGCAGCGAACGTTCAACTTTTTCCTCTGACTTCAAAACTCACGCTTCCTGGGAATCCACACAGACTGGTGGGATGCAGCCCTAACTCTAACCCACACACACGTCATGTACAAACGTATGGTGTGCTACAATGTAATTAATACAAGTAATTCTATGAAATGGTTGTGATACAATTCTTCTACCCATATGTTCTCACCAGGTGTCTGGAAGTTGGTGCACTGCAGCCATCACCGTGATTGGCAGACTGGACTATGAGATGTCACAGGTCGAGTACATTGTTGTGAGAGTCACGGACCCATACGGCAAGTTTGTGGCAAAGCGATTCTCAGTGCAAGTTCTTGATGTGAATGACCCGCCAACAGTAAGTTCTCTGCTGCGTTAGTAATGGGGAACAACATAACAGATACTCAGACCATGCATTACCAGTCAGAACGGTGACCTTCTGAGCAATGCTTTGTGCTGTTCTAAAACGGATAGGCCTCCCTTCCTGCCAGAGTGCATTGGAATAAAACTGTTCTGTTTCGAATGCTCCACCTTCAGGATATCTCCATCTCCAAGGAAAGTGTGGCTGAGAACCAAGTCGATGCTGTGGTGGGAACTTTTACCTGTAAAGATGTGGATCCTGGCCAGCATTGCCAATACTCTCTTGTAAACACAGCGAGCGGAGTGTTCAAGGTGAGAAGCACATGATGTTACCAAACAAAAAATTCTATCATGTTCAGGTGTCATGAACTTCAGTGAACAATTGCAACAAGAGGGGTTCACAATACACATGATCACTTCTAGAATATTGCCTCACATTGTTTGGTTTGGCCATTTTGGTCAAGGCAAAAGTGAATAGTGACGTTTCATCTTCTCTTGAGCAATATACAGTCGACTCCACTTACAGCAAACTGAGATATAGCGAATTTCGTGATATAGCGAACTGTTGTGCATGTCCCAGTTTGAACCCACAGACAGTGTGAGTGCATTTCTGTCATAATGAAATTCGGCTATAAAGAACTACAAGTCTCCTGCACAATGGTGTTCGTGATATCAGGATTCGGCAGGACACTTCACCAATAACACACCGGCGACTGTTCTATGTATTACACCAATATGTAGATATCGGGCAACACACTCCGCACAGCTGTTGCTCTGGACTACGAGGCATCATCATCATGGACAATCCGTGTTCGTGCAACAGACAATGGCAGTCCAGCACTAAGCTATGAGAAGACCTTTGTCATCAATGTGATTGACGTAAATGAAGCACCTACATCGGTGAAATTGTCAAATGTTGCTATCAATGAAAATTGTCCTCTGGATACTCTTGTCGGGTATCTTACAGCTTCTGACCCTGATAATTCCAATAAGCACAGGCAGACATTCAGCTACACATTTGGGCCAACGCAAGGACGGTTCAAGATTGATGGCAATGCTGTGAAGGTTGGTGTCATTGTGCCTGCATATCTTGGATGCACTTTGCGTATTAAGTTAGTGGTGAGGGGAGGGGAGGGGGAGGGGGGGGGGGGGGGGAGGGGGCAGGGGCGATCAGTGTTACTGCTGAAATCCTAGACTGAGTGGTGGTATCACGATTTTGTCTTTGCAATGTTTGCATGTATTCGGATATTATAACAGCTTGTCCCATTAGACTAGTTATGGAAAACCTGGAACAACAGCTCATTCTCACATAAAATTTTGCTATTTTTTATTTCCAATTTCTGCAGGTGGCAATATCCAATGTAGATTGTCTAAAGTATGGCGGATCCTACTGTCGACTGAACTTTGAATCCTCACCTAGTTTTAGTGTCACCGTCCATGTTACCGACAGTGGATCACCACCACTCAGTTCAACTTTCCCGCTTACCTTACACCTAAACAACATCAACGATCAGCCAAGGCATCTTACCATCGACAATACCATTGTAAGTGATGTCAACTGATATGACCGCGTGGCCTAATGGATAAGGCGTCTGACTTCGAATCAGAAGATTGTGGGTTCGAGTCCCATCGTGGTCGTCAAATTGTTTTTTGGAGAAAAGCACAAGCTCTTTCTTACTCATCAGACTCGCTTCTGTGGTCTGGACCCGCCTCTAGAGGTATCATCAAGAATACATAAACCACAGTGTGCAACTGTGCATATCAGATCTGAAACAGCATAGTTCGTGCACTACGTCACCCCGATGTTGTTGTTGTTGTTGTTGAAATTTTATTTTGTATCGCAGACCAAACGGGCAATGGTGCCCAATATTATGATGGCGATAAAGTAACGGCCGAGAGCCAAGGATACAACAAGCAAGCCTCCACGAAAGAGAGAAAAACACAGAAAACACAGACTGCAAATACTCAAAAAGAAAAAAGAGAAAGGGAAAAAAAGAAAAAGAAAGAAGAAGAAAGCACAGTTGAGTCACAGTTGAGTCACGACTCCAAGTCCAAGCCTAGATGCTGGCTAACCATAAAAATAAACCTTTAAAAGTCTCTTGAATGATCTATGGCAGGCGAGGGACTTGAACTCTTGGGGCAGGGCGTTCCATAATTTAACAGCAGAAACGAGCGGCCGACAGTCACCAGAGACTCGCCTGGTGGCAGGGACAACATACGCATTTGGATCGTTGATCCGAGTGACGCCTTCAGTCTGGCGACGTAGGCGCTTGGACAGGAGATTACTAATTCTGGCGGTGTGGATACGAAGCATGAGGAGGCGGAGTTTACAGTGGGCGTTTTGGATGATGGGGATGAGGCCTAGACGGGTGTAGATGGGATCTGTGTGGGAGGGGAATGGCTGGTTGGCAACGCAGCGGATACATCGCTTGTCGAGGACCGAAAGCTGATGCCGTTGGTGCGCAGAGAGAACCGAGAAGAAGGCATTAGATCCATACAACATGTCCGGTAGTATTAACGATCTGTAAAATAGCAGGGCTTGTTGCTCAGTTAAGCAGGAGCGAATGGCTCGCAGCGCCGTCAGTTTCTGGGAGGTCTTCCGTGTAATAGTTGCAACTTGAGTCTCCCACCGAAGCTGGGTGTCGAGATGTAGACCTAGATATCGAGCATTTGTGGTCTGAGCTAGGGGATTTCCATTGCATTCTATGTTAAGTAACAAGGGCTGCCTGCGAGACGCATGAAGGGCTAGAACGTGGGTTTTGGAGGGATTTAGTATTAAGCCTCTTTCTTCCAGAAAGTTGGCCAGGTTGGAGACTGAACGGGAGAGGGTTAAATTCAAGAATTCGACGGATTGACTGATGGCGTCTAGCAGGATATCATCAGCAAACAGCTGTGAGTGGGCTGGAGCTGTGATCTGTTCTATTTCCATTGTGTAGATGGAGAACAAAAGAGGACCCAGCACACTTCCCTGAGGAACACCACACTCACAGGGAGAGAGGGCGGACGACTGGCCATTGCTCAGGACGACTCGCTGACGGCGGTCAGTTAGGTAGCTCATGAACCAACTGAGAGCCGTTGAGGTAATACCAAGCTGAAATAGATCTGTAACCAAAATTTGGTGTTTGACCTTATTGAAGGCCTTGCTCATATCGACAAGTACAAGACCTGTATGGCGCTGCTGATCCGCTGCCTCCAAGTATCTGTCTACAGCCAATGTCAGGGCATCTTCTGTGGAGTGAAGTGGGCGATATGCGAACTGGTTTGCGGGGAACAAGGAATTTCCGGAGAGGAACTTACAGAGTCTCGTGTGGACTACCCGTTCTAGGACTTTGGAAACTATTGGTAATAACGATATTGGTCTATAGTTCTTAGCGACAGCTTTGTCGCCTGACTTGAAGAGGGGACGAACATCCGCAATCTTCAGAGATGCAGGAACAACACCAGAAGCCAGAGATGCATTGATTAGTATGGTGAGGGACGGTGCAAGGACAGGAGAACAGTGTTTGAGGATTGCAGCTGGAACCTGATTGCTGCCTGCAGCTTTGCGCACGTCGATGTTGGAGAGCAGCTTAGCGATCTCTTGCACACTTGCTGGAGCAAATTCTTCGAGGCATTCCTTCTTCGTGGGACCCAATGGGGCTGAGAGACGTAGTGGTCTAGTTGGGTCTGACACAACACCGCTGAATTGGTCACTGAGCTGTGAGACACTGACGGCTGGTGGAACTGAGGACTTGTTACGACCGCTGAGGTAGTTGATGGTCTGCCAGGTTTTTCGTGCGTTGGCCTGACTAGCAGCAAGAAGGTCCCTAAAGTAGGTGGCTCGGAGATGTCGTGACATACGCTTGGCTTCGTCTCGGGCAGAAGTGAAGACATTGCGTAGTGCCGGGTCTGCAGGTGATGCTTTCCACCGTCGATGGGCCGCGTCACGTCGCTGGACTAGGTCATGTAGAGCTGGCGTCTTCCAGGGGAAGGATTTCCGGGTAGGAGCTCTTGGGCGGTGTAGACGGATAGGAGCATGAGTGTTCAAGGCCGCGACAAGTTTCTCCAGCCACATATCCCACATTTCATCTTCTGTCCGCGCAAAGCAGAAGTTCTCTAGATCGCTATTTAGAAGGTGGTGTGCAAATTGACCCATATCAATTCTTGCAATGTTACGGCCACGTCGCACGGTCGGTGTGCAGGACGTTGTGAGTCGCAAATCAAGTGCCAGAGCGAAGTGGTCACTGATTGTACAAGGTACTACGACACAAGAGTTCACATGATCGTCTCCGACCAGAGCGAGATCCAGGGTTGTTTGGCTGCCTTGGGGTCCAATTCTGGTAGGACTGTCCACTTGGTTCTTGATGTCGAAAGAATTACACAGGTGCAGCAAGCTGTTTAGCTGGGGGCTGTCGCGGGAGCTTACATCGACATTGAAGTCTCCAACAAGGACCAGAGGTGACGTGGGAAGTGTGGAGATGACAGTGTCTAGTGCATTCGTCAAGTCTTGCCAGAATTGCACAGGAGTGCCTGGAGGACGGTACACGCCACCAAGGAGAACCTTGGAACGCTGCCCACTGACCTCTAACATGAGCATTTCCACCTGGGTGTCAGCCTTCACAATTCGGGCTCGGAGATGATCTCTTACATATGCTGCTAAGCCTCCGCCATGAGTTGGCCTGTCGCGTCTGACCAGGGTGTAATTCTGTATGCGTAGGATGTCATCGGAAACGGAGGTTGTTAAGAAAGTCTCTGCCAGCATCATTATATCAATTTTATGGGAAAGAATATAATCTTCAATTTCATGCTTTTTATTGAGAAGATGGCAAACATTTAGGAATCCTATTTTGAGGTTACTTTTAATTAATTCATGCTGTAGGGGATTTACAGTGGGGCAAATATTTCGTGGCTGAAAGATAGGTGCATGAGGGTTAAAGGGTTGAAAGGGGGCTGCGTGAGGATTTAAACAGAACATTTAGTGCTCCTCTGCAGCTCGACCAGTTGCTACACTGTCACCCTTGAAGCGCCATTCTCGAACTCTGACGTTTGAAGGCCAGAATTCCGGTTCCAGAACAGTAGCTTTGTGTTGTATTGGCAGAATTACGTGAGCAAAGGCCAACCCGAAGTACTTTGTCTCAGACACGGAGCACTTGATGACAGGTATATTTCGGCGTTCACACCATTTGGCGATCGATTCTGATGTGCACCCACTATTGACATTGCCCACATACAAAGCGCAACATTTTGTGCGGGTTGGGTTTGAACCCAACTTGGTTCAAACCCTGGTTTTGTTGGTGGACTCTAACGCATAACTTGTGCCCCACCGTTTTCCTTGTTTTCATTTATTTAAAATATTTTCCTTGGCTCACCATCTGAGTAATAACTTTTCCAATACTATTTTTCTCCAGGTAAAAGAGAATGATCCAGTTGGTACAGTAGTTGGAATGTTTGCTTACTCTGATGAAGACGTAGGACAAACTCATCAAATCCAGCTGCTCGTTGATGACAATGGACAATTCAAACTTAGTTCCGATGGTAAAAAGTTGGTGAAGGCCAAGTCCACAGATTATGAGACCAAGTCAGTTCACAACATTACTGTCAGAGTTACTGATAATGGAAGCCCACAAATGTCGGTACGTTACGCTTTGATCCTGCATGTGTACAAAGAGTATACTGCTAAGGCGTTATCCCAACTATGTTGACCACAAATGTCTTCTTCAGAATGCTTTTGATACTACCCGTGTTCTACCCAACTTGTCAAAATCATACTGTAGAGGACCTACATGTACATGTATAATTATGGTGAAAACATTTAAAACAGATTTCCTTGCTCCTGTTGTGTTGTTGAGCTACCTGGCTATGTACTAGTGTTGTCTGTGAGGACTTCTCTAGTTGGACCTTTACTCGTGTGTCATCACTATGGCCTTGCTTAAAACAATTTTGAGTCGGATATATGGCCAGATGATGCTCTTCATGAGCACATGTTTCTGGTTCCACTTGAAAACTACCGCATGAGAGCTTGTTTATGTTCTAATGCGACCGTTGAATACACAAGCTATTGGCATGGCTTTGAGCAAGACCATGGTCTGATGATGTTGATAAAGGCTGATTGTACAGATGCTGTCATTTCTGTGTCCTCTGCTTGTTCACCTCCATTCTATCTTCACAAGATCACCCAGACATTCTCTATAAGCGTCCGTGATATCAATGAGCCCCCTGTATTTATGAGCTTGCTGTCGACTGATGGCCAACTGTCCTTTCCTGTGGATCATCCACAAGTCAAGGAAAACTCTAAAGCTGGAACTATCATCGGAAGAATCCAAGCAACAGACCTGGTATGTGATTTCAAATTCACCCCTCGTTGCATGACCCATTTGGTATGTGTTTTCTCAAGCTCAAGCTCCTGATTGCTTGCTGACATCTGTGCCATATGTTTTTTTTTAGAATGATCAACTCGCAGCATGCCAATGCGTAACATTCTTCACCTACCCAACAAACTTTGATTTAGAAAGGAATATCAGAAGATAGCAAAAACTTTGTCGCACTCAGGGACTTTGCAATCTTGGTGACTGATGGAAATAGCATGTAGCAAGAGGCTACGCAGGCTTGGAAGTACTGGACACTTGCTAGAAGCGATAAAACCCTAAATTGAAGAAACAAGCTGGCTGAGGTGGATTGAGAGTTGACGTCATGACTTATTTTATCTCATTCCCCACTTTCTTCCCAAGACATTATTACCGTAAAGTACCGCCAGAGCGCCCCACCAGTTCGTCCTTTCGTGGTCGTATTGTGGAGGTGGTCTCCTGTCTGTAGGTCATACGACACGAACCTTGTACGCACATTGCATGTTGTGTAGTCACTCCGTACCTTCCAGGGGACACGAGCTCCGCACCAAAACCCACTAAGTGTGACCTTAGTACACTAAAGCTCTCACACCATACAAACTTCGTTGCACTCTGCCATACGATTTTCCTTTCCCTGGCTGTAAAACCAAGGTGGAGCGCTCTCGCAAGACGGGGCACTCTGGCGGTACTTAACGGTAATATCTAATGTAGTGGTGAGTTGCCGGGCAAACCAATTTCTGATTCCAATGCCATTATGGTGGTGAGACTTTGTGCTATTGGGAATGAGCAATAAATCTCTGTGTTTCCTTGTTCAGGATGCCAATCAGAGGTTGACGTTTTCCTTCGACAGTAATGCCCAAGGTCGATTTTCAATATCCACATCATCGGCATGTAGTTTTGTAAGTCTCCGTCCTGTGCTTTATCCAGTCTATGTATTTGTCACTCTTCAAGTGTACAGTGGCAGGCTGATTTTTGGAATGAATCAAGTTGCATTGGGTCTAGAGTGCATGGTGGATGGTGGTGTCTGGTGGTGACTAAGACTTGCCGAATTTGCTGTACTCCTTACCCACAGCCAAGTCTGCATTTGTACACCGACATCAGTCAATTACTTGAAGTAGCTTTGCCCACTGCATGGTAAATTGCTGGTTATATTGGAAAATGGAGTTAGCGGCATATGCTGTTTGAGTACATTATATTCTCATCAAGACACACTGAGTGAAATCCGGTATATTCTGGTTGATTACATTCTATTCTGATCGAGTCAAACTGAGTGAAATCCGACTATAAGCTAGTCGTAGAGCTCTTGTGAATTTCCGTGACACGGATATCCCCATTTCCTGCAACATGGGCTGCACGTCCTCTTCTAAACGCCATTGAGCCTATAATGTAGACTCTAGGAGGGAGTGCTCTAGGAGGGAGTATGAAGAGGATGTAAGTTACAGTAGGCGTAGCTTCTGGCTTGCACTGTGGCAATTCCAGCCTGAAGACGCTGTGCCGTGTGCTTGTTGCAGACATCATCCAGTAACTGCACCGCGACAGTGAGTGTATTAGGAAGTTTGGATTATGAGAACTCATATCAACATCAAGTTGTAGTTCGGGTGACGGATCCAAGTGGAAAATTCAGGGTCAAGAACTTCACCGTGAAGATAGTAGATGTCAACGATCCTCCTACGGTAAGATGAACAAAAGGTTTTAGTACCTAGTGCACTACAACTACTACACACACAGGGTGGATGGCCTTTGAATATTTTAAGTCATTTGTTTTAATTACCTGTCTCACTATGACTTTTTCAGACGAGGACCTTCCGATTTCTGCAATGGTAATCACCTGATGTGACAAGGCTTTTTTTAAGCAAGCCACTTTGGAGGGTATATCCCAGTATCTTAAGTTAAAACATCACATATTTCAACGAATTTGGTGCTATTATTGTATGGTTCCAGGCGCGTGCCCCGTATGGGTTCCTGGGTGCCCGGAACCCCCCCCCCCCTTTCGCTCAAAATGCAGGATTTTGCTTCATTTTTTGAAATTTTTCCGGGGGGGGCCCGAACCCCCCTTGAAGGGCACCGGTGCACGTGCCTGGGTTCTGTGCTCCAAAGCCGTTCCAATTCTCAAGCACTGTAGCAGTGGTGCACCCATGTATTATTGGAAGAAATAGTTTTTAAATGCTATATCTTTGCAATCAGTGTGTGGTACATTCAGAGGTTCACTGTTTCTTGTATGTTTCTCTCTTGTCTACTTCTTGTATGCAACTATCAAGGATATCACGTTATCAAACGCCTTGATTGCTGAGAACAAGGCAAAGAGTGTTGTTGGATTCTTCACTACAACTGATCAGGACACAAGTCAAAGTTACTCATACACACTACTAAACAGTGCCAGTGGAAGATTTGCAGTAAGGGAAAACACCTCTGACCCAACCAGTCATGTCATACCTCTTGCAGTTTTACTTTTTTTCCTGAAATGCAGGGCATGTGAGCTCACATGAGTTGCTATACATTATTGTTGGCATGCATGCTATGCATTTGTGTCACGTGATGATGGTAACGTTTTGTGTGTGTGTGTGTGTGTGTGTGTGTGTGTGTGTGTGTGTGTGTGTGTGTGTGTGTGTGTGTGTGTGTGTTACTGTAGTACTGGGAGTCTGCCTTCTGGAGTCTTTCTAGCTCAGTTCTGTCTCCGTCATCTCCTGATAAAGTCCTTTTCAATGTAGTTCTATCGACAATAGTATGGGTGTGACGATGAATGACATGGGGACGGGAGTAGTAAGATTCGACCCAGTACGACGCCTGCTACAATACAGTTAAATTAAATTCCGTGGCAATTCCAAACACCGGTGCTTTGGCCTGTCTCTTCTCCTGTTCATCTCACTTCTTTGCTATCCATGAATTCTTCAAAAATATTCCACTGTGGCTAATACGACGGTTTCAGATGATTAGCCAACGAACAGGATGTATGAGTTATGAGCCACTTGTGCTCCCACTATATCTATTTTTGGCTTATGTTGCCATCTAAGTTCACATTTCCTTTGTTACCTTTGTCCAGATCTCTGGCGATGAACTCGTCACTACAGTAGCAGGTCTGAACTATGAAAAGGCACAAAGTTGGACGGTTCGTGTTCGTGTGACAGACAATGGCAGTCCAGCACTGAGCTATGAGAAGAACTTTGTTATCAATGTGATTGATGTGAATGAAGCACCAACATCTGTGCAATTGGACAATTATCAAATCAATGAAAACTGTCCAGTGGATACAGTTGTTGGAAAACTTACAACCTCTGACCCAGATAATGCCAACAGACAACGGCAGACATTCAGCTACACAATGATTGACTCAGCTCAGGGGATATTCAAGATCGAAGGAGATGATATCAAGGTTAGCAGAAGGAACGACTTCAACTAATATTGGGTTTGTGACCATAACTATATTCCGATGAAACAATAAATTCCGGAAAAATGGGTAATGAATGAGAGGGAGGGGGGGGGGGTGAAAAGTGCCACCCACTATATACTGGATTGCTTCTTCATATCATTCTAGAATAAATTCTTGCTTGTTCAACAAACCATTCAACAACTTATGCTGGCTCCACAAACCATTCTGCAATTTATGCTGGTGCTATCACTTTCACTCCGAACAAAAGCCAGCATATGGAGAACAGGTAGAGCTATCAATAATCTGGAGTGAAGAACTGACCGCCAGGGACCACTTAACTCATGCCTCGAGGTTGTACGCTATTTGCCTGCCTCATGCTTCAGCATGGCAATCTGTCAACTATGATGTGGTATAATGAACCATATTTTGTATCTTTGGCAAGTGACGCATAACAGAAAGAATATGACTTTTGTATTGGCTGTGAGAATGATAAAATGTCAAGCCGGTAGACTCGACATTTGGAGCTTCACTTGATGTGACGGGCTTTGTTTTCTGTCTTCTACAGGTTGCTGTGTCAAATGCAGATTGCCTGAAGTATGGTGGTGTGTACTGCCAACTGAATTATGAAGGAACGCCTAGCTTCAGTGTTTCAGTCCAGGTCACAGATAGTGGATCGCCATCAGCAAGCGCCATTTTCAATCTAACGATTCAACTGAAGGACATCAACGATCAACCAAGGCAGTTCACTATCAGTAACTCTATCGTAAGTCGAATCGTGGTGGCATGACATTTCTCACAGGAACTTCAGTGCTTACTTAGAATAGAGTGAATGGACCAGTGAAATTTCAAGTCCGGTTCATCAACCCAGGACTGCATAGCAACAACCTTCTTCAGTTCAGGGATGAATGCAAGACATAGTACCAGTATGTGTTAGCTTCCACACTATTGTTTGATGATTGTGTGTAGTCCCAGTACCCGGGTAGCTAGCTCAGTGTTTTGACCTTGCTAGGTCTCATCAGTGGAGCTGAGCCGATCGCAATGAAATCTGATAAACAAAACACTTTTCACTCACATAGCAACCGGGTTGTACATGGGGTAGTGGTCTACCAGAATGTACTCACAGAATGAACTCAGTATTCCGTCACACCACACTCGCAGCCACACGCTAGCCAAAGACTAGGCCAGAAGTAATAAAGAGCAAGGCGGCCAGCAAGAGATATGTCAGTGCAAGACACGAGCAGAGCAATGTCCTGGTGTGGGTGACTGGCCAGTGGGGGAGCGCCTGAAAATCCGACTCCCTAAATTTCCAGCCACGACCGCTCAACCGGGCTGGGGGAAAAACTCGCCTTGCGGCCAAAAAACCCTTCTACTAATATGGGACCTGCCCCACTGCCAGTCACACCCAAAAGAAAAACCGAAGAGAAACAAGCAGAAAGGAGTAATCATACTTCGAAGTACAACCAAAAAACCCCGAGACCCTCGGGACAGAAACACACAAAACAAAGTATGCCATGGAAAACCAGTAAAACAGCACCCAATGGAAGCCCAACAACGTACGGGACCCAAGGGAGGGAGGGCGGGAAAACTCCACGCTCTACGAGGAATACAAGACCACGATGGCAGGTGGGGGAGAGTTGCGCAGTGGAAGAGCAGCAGAGCACGACAGAAAAATGGTGAGTGAAAAATACGTTTTTTACACTCTTTCGCTACGCTCAGCCGTGAAAAAACAACACCTCTTTTTGCCCGGCGAAACGTCAAAGTTAGAGTGCTCCAACTGCGGAAAACGCACTGAGCTTTGCACTTTGCACACGAAGGCAGATGACTTTGACGCTTACCAGAAAGAAGCTCAACCAAGCCGATGCGAGGAAGCTTAATACTCAATCTCCAAAGAGCTAGGTTACTAGACTATCTGTTCAACATCTGGTCTAGATGGTGGACTCTCATGCATAACTTGTGGCCTTGTGCCCCGCTGTTTCCCATATTTCCAAGCCAACCAGAGTGTGAGTATATACTCTAATGTTCTCCGTTGGTAATCCCATAGTTCGAAATAATTGGTAGCATTGGAAAGATGCCAAGGCAAAGGAGAAAGGAGATAAGTACTACCTCACTATGTTACACTCATTGAAGCATAGCGTGGCAAATCCATTCAGCCCTGTGGCTTGAATTTGCCATAGGCTACCTTTACCCATATTTAACAGGGTAAATGATGGCTTGCATAGACCACGGTCCTACCGTCACCATGGTCGATTTGTCATCGTCAAAATTCACATCTGCTCCAGTTGAGTCCAAGCGCTCCGACCATAGCATGCGTGACCATTTTGACAATTCTATATGTGTATGTGCTCTGTACGATAGGTGAAAGAGAATGACCCAGCTGGAACAGTAGTTGGAGTATTCGCTTACACTGATGAAGACAAAGGACAAACTCACCAAGTGCAGCTTGTTGATGATGATAATGGTCAATTCAAACTGAGTGCGGATGGTAAAAGTTTAGTGAAGGCCAAGTCTACAGATTATGAAACCAAGACTGTACACAAAGTCACTGTGAAGGTCACCGACAGTGGAAACCCTGCTATGTCTGTAAGTCATCTCGCTTGCCGTGTTGCACAGAGCTGAGCTTTACAGCTTATAGCTTAGACAGTCCATTTCTTTGAAAAGTCAAACATTCATGTCCCTCATGGTAGATCGGCCCGCTGTGATGCATAATAATAACTCTAGGGTTCTTGGAGCTATTTCATTTCATTTTATTTCACCGTCCAATGACAAAAGCCAATACACAGGAGGCAGTGTTAGCCAGCCATGGCAAGAGCAGGAATGGGGTTCTCATTTTGAATGATGTCATACTCTTCAAGTATACAAGAATTGGAATGCAATAGAAGCACACTGGACTCTGTTATAAAATAAATTTGGCCAGGGTATGTGATTGCTAAGCAAATCTTTGGTACTTAACCTTGCTTTGTGTCCCCCTCGAGCAATCCGTACTGTTTTTACACATCACCTCTGTGTCCGCCATCGGCTCGTTCTTCACATCCATTATGAAATTCAACCCAGCCCTCTTACCTCATGCTCTTCAGGAGACTCCCTTTTATAGGCATCCGTTAGCCATTGGCTAAATACTTGGACTAAAATTTCATGGTTGAAATATTAATGTCAGAATCCACACTGCAGTAATTTCCACCCCAGAACAATGTCCTTACTGTAATTAGTTATGACATGTCAGTGCCTCGCTTCCACGGAGGACTGAAATGCAGACGCAGATTTTAGACACAAGGTGCTTGCTGGAATTCGACTTCCGTTTTAATATTAAGACTTAATGCACGTGTGCATGTGTGTGTTTTGTGAAGGTTGAACTTGAGATCAATGTGACTGTCACCGACGTGAACGAAAATCCCATTTCAGCCGTTTTCACTGACATGGCGGGTCAGCAAGTCTTCCCTGCCAATCATCCTGCAGTCGATGAGAACTCCCACTATGGTGCCCCAGTAGGGACGGTGCTGGCACAAGATCGGGTAGGGTTCATAGAAGTCATGTTACCACGTCAGCCGTGTCTGTATGCTGAAACCGTGAACAAAATCGTAATGACCCAAAGTCTGGACTATATTTCCAGTCTTCTTCTCCAGCACTAGTTATTGTATAGGGGAAGTATGTGGCTGAAACCTCTGATGAATTTACGCATGACCCATGTGCCCTACCTTGAGCACACATCGCCTGCTCAACCCACAGTTTCTAGCCATCGTGTATAACTCTAGTTAGCACACATTGGTGGCAGACGGTGATGGAACACGCAAAGAACATGTGGTATCTTGTGTGAGCCTCGTCAGCTCAGGTCACTGCATCAGCCTAGCAAGCTGTTGAATTTTTTAATGCCAGCACAAGTTGCTACCGATATGTCTAACATAGCTTGTTCGCTACAGTCGTGGCTTCATGTGTAAGTGTAAGTGTAGGTAAGCGTGTGTGTGTGTGTGTGTGTGTGTGTGTGTGTTTGTGTGTTTGTGTGTGTTCATGTGTGTGTGTGTGTGTGTGTGTGTGTGTGTGTGTGTGTGTGTGTGTGTGTGTGTGTGTGTGTGTGTGTGTGTGTGTGTGTTTGTGCATGTATGTGTGTGCTTGTGTGCATATGCATGTGTATGTATGTGTCTGTGTGTACATATAATGTGTGTGTACATATAATGTGTGTGTACATAATATTATAATGTGTGTGTGTGTGTGTGTGTGTGTGTGTGTGTGTGTGTATGTGTGTGTGTGTGTGTGTGTCTGTGTGTGTACATATAATGTGTGTGTGTGTATGTGTGTATGTGTATGTATATGTGTGTGTGTGTGTGTATGTGTGTATGTGTGTGTGTATGTGTGTATGTGTATGTGTGTGTGTGTGTGTGTGTGTGTGTGTGTGTGTGTGTGTGTGTGTATGTGTGTATGTGTATGTTTGTGTGTGTGTTTGGTATGGGTTCTGTGTTTTAAGGATGCAAGACAGTCACTAGTGTTCACATTGGATGATGACGCCGGTGGACTGTTTTCAATTAGCGCCACGCCAGCCTGTAACTTTGTAAGTCAGCAGTGGCTCAGCTATTCCCCACTGGTTGTTTTGAATCGTTGTCAGGACATGTATGCGCCTTGTCGACAGCTTTTTTTCACTTCTTCCATAACTTGCTCCCTTCCCATCCCATTATTTGTACCCGTATTTCTTAAGTCATTTATGGACTTTTTTGCACTCCTAGAGTAATTGAGGGGTATGCGTAGGAGCCAATGTCATCATCGTTTGCGGATGGTTCGACCATCAAACTCTCAGTTACGATTAACTGGTTATTGCCGTCTTGTTGTTTGCACTATGCTCTGTATTTAGTACACTCCGCAAATTGACCGTGGTTGGTCCCCCGGGAGGGAAAATGACCGTAGTATGTGTGGGACGTGTTGTGAGCTGCCTTTGGAATGAAAAACTTGTCAACGCCTTCTAGGTTCGGTCTGGTCCCATAGCTCAGATGGAGCATTGCTCATGACAAGCAATGTCCTGGGTTAGAGTCTTGGTGGGTTGGCATTTTTTTTCTCTTTTCTGGCAATTTCCCCGACTGATCCTTTGAAACTTGGTATCAACTGGAATTGATAAACTCCTCCCCGGTGTCAGATGTAGGCTTTTTGTGCCAGATTATCATTATACAGGGTACTGCTCATGTACTGCTCATGTACTGCTCATGTACTGCTCATGTACTGCTCATGTACTGCTCTTTCTGTCTATCACATGTACTTGTTTATTTGTTTCCTATTTGGTTCTCTTTCTCAGTTTTAGTACTCTGTATTGTTCAGTTACCGAAGTAAAAGAAATCATACCTTACCATTCTATGTGTCGTTTCAGACATCAGGCAGTACATGCCGTGCCCAGGTCTTTGTGATTGGTAGTCTGGATCACGAGCTGGCGTCTGTTCACTACATATCAGTTCGTGTCCGTGATCCGTTTGGCCTCGTCCGAGTTCAGCGTTTTCCCATCCGTGTACTGGATGTAAATGACCCGCCGGAGGTGAGTTTAGACTTGGCAGTAATATTCCAATGCCTGACATCACGCCATGATTACTTATGTCAGTGTCTTATTAAGATTTTGAGTCAGCTTTTGTGTCATTGACTCATTGCTGAATAGTGGCGACACTCATCGTGAAATCCGAAATTGAACAGATCAGTGCTCACAATGTCTGGACGTGCATACTTGACTCCTAACTTGGATCCAAGTCACCGAGTGTGCATTCACCTGCCCAACGCACTTGCTTCACCGCTAGAGTTGATTTTTATCACAATGCACTAGGTTGCAACATACCTGGTGTGCACGCGCTATTATAGTGTATGCCATGGACTGGAATAGTTTTTTTTTCACGGCTGAGCATAGCGAAAGAGTGCAAAAAACGTATTTTTCACTCACGAATATTTCCGTGCGTTTGCTCTTGTTCTGCATAACTCCATTGAACCTGCCATTGTGGTCTTTGTTTTCCTCGTGGTAGTTGATCGTGAGTGTTATTGCTCTGGTAGACCACTACCCCATGTACTGAACAGTTGCTCTGTGAGTGAAAATCTAATATGATGTAATCGGATCATGATATCTTTTCTCTGTGCTGTCTTCAGAACATCACACTGTCCAATCAGCGTGTGCTTGAGAACATTGTCGACCCATTCATTGGTACGTTTGTGCCTACGGATGATGACCCCAGTCAATCATTCACCTACAAGCTGGTTAGCCAAGGAACTGACTCATTTGTGGTGAGTAAGCATCTACATGCATTTTTAAAAGAATTGTTGAGAGCATCTCGGGATGTGTACTAGACATTATGAAGGGTGAAGGGAGGTATCCGTTGATTGATATCTAAAGTGTGTACTTGGAAGTCCTTCTTTCTCCATTCCAATTTTAAGGATAGCTACTCTTCCTTTCTAGATGCTCAGTACGGTGACGAGCGCACAGGAAAGTGAGTCACTGTGAGTTGTGCCACCTACAAAACAGCTCTCGGATTTGAAACGAAAAGGTACACAGCAAAGCACGGGCATCCAACAAATCATCATGGCTCACCTTTTCCGCGCTAGACTAGAGTCTGTGCACATTGCTAGTCTGAACCCTGAACTGTGTGTGCAAAGAAGTATGTGTAAATGTTTTAATTTTTTTAATTTTCAGCTGTAGTCCACATTGTTGCATCCCGTTTTAAACCGTTTCCAACAGTATGCCTCTATCGTCAGGCGAAATTACTGGTCAGTCGGCGACACGCATTTTTCACAAAAATTTGCGTTTCACCTGCTGGGAGAGTATGCGTGTACTCGAGTCTCATCCTGAGCACGTGTTTTTCTTCTTTTTTTCAGCTCCAGTATCTGTATTTTTCATTGCAAAGCCGTCCTCGATTGTTGTGTTCGTTGTCCAAACGAAGTGGACATTCAATCATGAAGGCAGAGGACATAGGAGCCTGATTGGAGTTTCTCGTGGCATAGGACGGCCACACAGAGACACTTTGGGATTTTCTGAATATAAAATACCGTACGCACGATGCTGAGATCAATTTGTGCGATATCAAATTGTTTGTGATCTACCACATCGAGCAGAACGGGATCCAAACACAAGCTTACCGACAGTTAGGCTGCCGACCTGACTGGACAAATGATCCCTGGCTGCACCAGACGCCAGAAGTCGGACACCATGTCCAAAAAGAACTCCATCTTCGTCGTGAAAAGGCTTGAAATACTCAATATTCAACCGAGATTCGCGGACTCGCGCTTTCTCGGATCGATTAATTTCCTGTTGGAACAGTTGCAGGGCAGCTTCTCGCCACTGTTTCAACAGGCGATGGCTCCAAAGCATGCCTGGAACAAGCCATATCGAGGTTGCAAGCCACCCCTCTCAGCAAAAAATTCGAAGGAATTCGAAATTTCAATGGTGGAAGATATACTATGAAGAGAATTTCAAAAAGTATGTTTCGCGGAGCGATCGCTCAACCTACGTCATTCAAACTTTGCAGGATGCGTCAGGCGAAATAGCACGTCATAGTACATTTGAGATCAGCCGGAAGAAGATGACGACGTCCACTAATTTAGTATCTGTGCACACGAATCTGCTGTGTGTGTGACTCTGTGTGTCAGCTATGATATCATCTTCTGTGGTTCCAGGCCTAGCATGTACGTCTGAACCATCCTGCAAAGTTTGAATGACGTAGGTTGAGCGATCGCTCCGCGAAACATACTTTTTGAAATTCTCTTCATAGTATATCTTCCACCACTGAAATTTCAAATTTCTTCAAAAAAAGCGCTGAGAGGGGTGGCTTGCAACCTCGATATGGCTTGTTCCAGGCATGCTTTGGAGCCATCTTCTGTTGAAGTAGTGGCAGGGATCTGCCCTGCAACTGCTGCAACAAAAAATGATTCGATCTGAGAAAGGGTGAGACCGCGAATCTCGGTTGAATATTGAGTATTTCAAGCCTTTTCACGACGAAGATGGAGTTCTTTTTGGAGATGGACGTCGCAGCAAAGGACATGGTGTCCGACTTCTGGCGTCTGGTGAAGCCAGGGATCATTTGTCCAGTCAGGTCGGCAGCCTAACCGTCGGTAAGCTTGTGTTTGGATCCCGTTCTGCTCGATGTGGTAGATCACAAACAATTTGATATCGCACAAATTGATCTCAGCATCGTGCGTACGGTATTTTATATTCAGAAAATCCCAAAGTGTCTCTGTGTGGCCGTCCTATGCCACGAGAAACTCCAATCAGGCTCCTATGTCCTCTGCCTTCATGATTGAATGTCCACTTCGTTTGAACAACGAACACATCAATCGAGGAGGGGGGAGGGGGGAGGTGAGGGCTTTGCAAAGAAAAATACAGCTATACTGGAGCTGAAAAAAGAAAAAAACGTGCTCAGGATGAGACTCGAGTACACGCATACTCTCCCAGCAGGTGAAACGCAAATTTTTGTGAAAAATGCGTGTCGCTGACTGACCAGTAATTTTGCCTGACGGTTCAGACGTACATGCTAGGCATGGAACCACAGGCGATGATGCCATAGCTGACACACAGAGTAACACACACAGCAGATTCGTGTGCACAGATACTAAATTAGTGGACGTCGTCATCTTCTTCCCGCTGATCTCGAATGTACTATGACGTGCTATTTCGCCTGACGGTAGGTGCCACTACTCACACTCAGCTCTTTGATGTCTACGTGGCCCTGGTCCGAGTGCCTAGAAAACAGGATAACGCAACATTTTTGGTTCACTAGCTTATAACACCATTGTAACGATTTGGAAGAGAAATTTACTTAAGGTGGCTGGGGCGGTACAACTTTTTAGGGGTCATTTTGATCACATTTTGACTGCATTTTTGAGTTTATCGGCAAGGTGGAGATGAAATTTGAAAATGTTTTCTTGTGAATCTCTGGAGAAGAGCCTTCTCTAGCCTCCTATAGTTTTATTTTTACTTTTGGACACATTTTGAAAAAGTTTTATGAAAGGTCCGTGAGAAAATAACACGAACCTTTCATAAAACGTTTTCAAATTTTGTCCAAAAGTAAAAATAAAACTATAGGAAGCTAGAGAAGGCTATTCTCCAGAGATTCACCAGAAAACATTTTCAAATTTCATCTCTGCCTTGCCGATAAACTCAAAAATGCAGTCAAAATTTTCCCAACAAAGTTGTACCGCCCCAACTCCTTGTCAGTGTTTTCCGGTGCTTCTGTAAGGATTTGTTTACCTCCAACCAAAAGTCAATTTTTTAGAAGTAATTTTTCTCACAATAGTGCGTTTGGTTGTGAAGAGCGACCAGGTAGTATTGGTTGTTGTCTAAGAATTTGTGTTGTTATATGTTGCTGACTGTCTCACCGTCTAGATCATTGGAAATCAGCTGCACTACATAGGAGAATTTAACTACGAAGAGTCATCATCCTGGACAATCCGTGTCCGTGTGACCGACAATGGCAGCCCAGCACTAAGCTACGAGAAGAACTTTGTCATTACGGTGGTCGATGTGAACGAAACACCTACGTCAGTGCATTTGTCCAACTCCAAAATTCCTGAAAACTGTCCTGCGGACACTATTGTTGGTGATCTTTCAACCCTCGACCCAGACAATACCAATAAAGCATGGCAGACGTTTCAATACTCATTGGTTGACACTGCTGGCGGTCGATTTCTATTGGATGGAAAGACTCTCAAGGTACTACTTCTTTTTTTATGTAGTAATGTAATATGGTATCAAGATTTCATTTTTTGTTTTTTGTTTTCTTTGATAGCACTTGTGATAACGCTTTTCAAATTCATTTGCAGTAAAACCTGGTTTAAGCGACTACCCCACGGCACGAGCCTGAGCAAAAGCAATCTCTAAAGCCAGCTCGTTTTTGGAACTAGGTCCCATAGGTAGCCAGTGCAGGCTGTCGTAATAAAACGACTCATCCGTGTTCCATTCCCGTGCATGGTACATGCATGGTGCGACGGCACAATGACAGCTATCGCAAATCACACTGAGTATTACACGTGTTTTTTGGTGATTCCTGGTTAGCTGCTAGCTTTTCCCTACTCGAAGTTGTTGCCGCCGCGAAATCTGGGGGTTTGTGTTCGTCCTGGCGAAAACCGTGTTTTGATCCGTTGAGGGAGACGAGAGATACAGTGCGAAGACGTACGATCTGTCCGAGAATCGGCGAAGAAGAAAGCTTCGCAGACTACCCGTAGTGGTTGGGAACAGAATGGAACATATACCAGTCGATGCCTGTCATGGTAGGGATGACTGCTACGAAGTTTTAGCCCCATGCTCCCCAGCGCTTTTTAGCGCCCGACGATAATTACCAAATTTCATCGATTTTCCATGTGGATCAAAGCATAGTCTCCTCAATCTTCTCCAGTCGAGCAGAGTCTGGACGCTACAATGTCGAGACGCGAAAAGAGAACATGCATGAACACACAGGAGCATCACATGCAGCTGCATTCTGCCTTGACGAAGCTGAGAACAACACCAGCACCACGCATTTGGAAGACATTTCGAAGAAGACGAAGAACTACATATCCGCGTTCAAAAAAGCCTCTGTACTGCGTGTGTGCATGCAGTATGCATGCATGCATGCGCGAAGCACGGGGGTCCGCGGATCAACTTCGCTCAAAAATCATTGTGCCACACGGGTTGTATGATTTGTGTGCGATCATGGTCTTTCTTCTTGACAAACAAAAGTGAAGTTTTTCGATCTTCAAATCGCCATAGCGTCCTTGTCATGACTCCAAATCAGCTGAAACTTTGCAGGAGGAATGAAAATGCCATGCTGAATCGATTGGTACCATTTTCGAAGGGTTTCCTTGAAAAATAAAATTTAGCCTGCACTGGCTACCATAGGTTCGCAGCATATCGGATCATACACACGCTTCCATGTACTCCTATTCCCAGGTGTTGGGTATAGAACACTTGCATGTACTCCTATTCCCAGACGTTGGGTATAGAACACTTCCATGTAATCCTCTTCCCAGACGTTGGGTATAGAACACTTACATGTACTCCTATTCCCAGGTGTTGGGTATAGAACACTTGCATGTACTCCTATTCCCAGACGTTGGGTATAGAACACTTCCATGTAATCCTCTTCCCAGACGTTGGGTATAGAACACTTACATGTACTCCTATTCCCAGGTGTTGGGTATAGAACACTTCCATGTACTCCTATTCCCAGACGTTGGGTATAGAACACTTACATGTACTCCTATTCCCAGGTGTTGGGTATAGAACACTTACATGTACTCCTATTCCCAGGTGTTGGGTATAGAACACTTCCATGTACTCCTCTTCCCAGACGTTGGGTATAGAACACTTACATGTACTCCTATTCCCAGGCGTTGGGTATAGAACACTTCCATGTACTCCTCTTCCCAGGCGTTGGGTATAGAACACTTGCATGCTCACAAAGCACCCATGGGTTTTCAAACTTTTCACACTCGCGGCAATACACAAAAGCATACAACATTGAACATACCCTGTACTGCCACTTGTCACTTCAGTTGACTGCATGCACTCTTTCTGAGCACGCTTGAACCCTGTTCCAGTCAAGCCTGCCAGCCACGACAGCATGTGTGGTCGCTGTATGCAAGTCAGATATGACACTTTGTACCGTAGAAGTTGATCGCTGGTCACGCAACGCAGATGGTCACTGTTTCTGGTGCAGTTTCTATGCAGAAGAGCTGGTGCATGGAAAAAGGGTCGTAAAAATTGGGTGGTCGCTATTACCAGAGGTCGCTTAACCCAGGTGTTAAATACATTGAATCCAGCGAAGTGTGCAAACGTGGCCACTACGTAAAGAATAGGAGACGGATAGAGCCTCATGAGAGGGTAAAGTCTATTTTATAAACCGGAGTGGACCGTCATTTTGTGAAACAAATGAAAAGGACAGGTCCACCCTTTGATGATTGTGTGTGTGTTTCAACCCACCGTTATACAATCTGGTCTGGTGGTTAGTACATTACGGCATGGTCGGATGCTTGCATGAATGGCTGTGGGTTCAAATCGTGGCTGGCATTTCTGCCATGGAAAGAACATGATAGGGGAATGCAACATGCTGACCTATTCCAATATGCAGGTTGCCACATTGTGGACACCACTAACATGCCTGCCTCGTGATCTCATGATCTTTGATATGCATTACCTACCTTTTGTACGGTGCATTTCTCGGATACTGGCTGTAACGTCCGGCAACTGTTGGGGTAGTTGACATTCTCTGCGCACTTTTCCCTACTCATTGATCTCAAACTGACGAGTATTAGTACCTATATTCAGCTCTAATTCTCTTTTTGAGCTGGCGAATTGTTCTTGATGTGTGCTCATTCTGCCATCATTTTTCTAACAGGTTCGCCCGTCGAATGTGGCATGCTTAGCCCTGGGAGGTACAGCGTGTTGGCTGAACTATGAACATAAACCCTACTACACTGTTCTTGTAAGAGCCACGGACTCGGGCACTCCACCACGTTCAGCTGATTTCTCTGTTAACATCACCCTGAAAGATGTCAATGATAGACCGCGGAACCTGCGAATCAGTGACTATCGAGTGCATGAGAATCAACCTGTCGGCACTGCCATTGGGACATTCAGTGGATTTGATGAAGATTCCAAGCAATACCTGTCATTCTTCTTGACAGACGATGATGGAGGAAGGTAATATGAGTAATTGTGGCTTCATCTATCACGAAAAAGGCTTGAATTATCACCATCCTGCTTTAGTGGCCTGCATTACACAAAGACATTGACTGAATTATTCTCTCGGTGTACTACATGCCCAAGGATTTCACTTGCCACAATCATAATACATGCAGCATGTGTGAGCTACACTTTGTGCAAGTGCAAGTGCAATCAGGATCTTCAAGTATGTACACATGTACATGTTCAACATCACAGACCGATTTTCATTTCCTCGTGTGGAAACCAGAGACTGCGTGACTTTTAGCGCTGCAGTGGTACATCAGTCTGGATTTCACGTTGTTGCAACAGTTACTATACCATAAGTCATAGCGAGTACCGCTAAATCATTAAGAGAGACATTGCGTTTCCACGTTTCATTAGTAGTAGCGAGTACTAATATTACTACTATAGAGACACAGAAAGTAACTGTACATCCTTTTCGCAGAAGTGTCGATGCTACTGCTGTTGTGCTGGGCCAGAAAGGTTTGGGCATAATTCAGATGTGCACACATGTTCTCTTTTCTTCTCAGGTTCAAGATTGTCGGCAGTGAACTACAAAAGGCTTTGCCTGCAAACTTTGAAATTTCCAAGAAACATTACATCACCGTGCTGATGAAGGATGACGGTACACCTAGTTTGAATGTAAGTGTGGTGTAGATGTGTGCATGCATGCACCTGCTGTGCGTGTGCTACCTGATGAAACTCAAACCACATTAGCACCGGTGTTTTAATGAATGGTAGGAAACTTTCATTGATTGTAAACCATCAGATATGTTTTCCATTGTGAACTTGTGGTAGTCACATGATTATCTTCATGGGTTTCGCAACACAACGGCTGCTTTGTAACTGCACATCGGATATATTGAGGATGAGGAGCAATGTTAACAATCACTCCATTTTTTCTTTCTTTTTTTGCTTTGGTTCATCTCATAGGCCATACGCATTCCTAGCATCTTGAAGGTGCACGGAAGAACTCTTTTTCTTCTTTTTCAGAAGATGGATGGGTTTTCAGTGCTAGTACTGAGTGCCACAACTATCCATTCAGCTATGGGTAGATGCTATGAATTTGAAGCAATTAAATTGGATGACCATGTTCTTATGACGTATGATCTAATAATTGTGCTGATTGCCGTTTCGTTTTCAATGTGTCATGTAGATCACCAAAACGTTCTTGATTGAAGTGCTGGATGTCCATGAAGCTCCGGTGTACATGAACTGCACCGACACAGATGGACAGCTGACTTTTGTTATGGTACGAAGCAAGTGGTAGACATGGCCTTGAGGGATTGGTTCAACTACAGCTACACAACTTCATGTCCCTAGATATACTTCATTCTGAGTACTTATTGAAACAGAAACTTGTTCGATTAATCCTAGGCAACTAACCAACAATCAACGTCAACATTCGAAGTACAGCGATCCCTCTATAATCCGGCACCATTTGTGCTAAGGAAAATCTGCTGGATTAGGGAGGGTGCTGGATTAACAAATCGGATTTACTGTTGCAATGTGCATGAAGAGGACATTTTGGCTACTGAAAATTGTGCTGGTTTATCGATGGTGCTGGTTTATAAAGTGCTGGATTAGAGAGGGACGACTGTAGGGTGCTGCTCAATGAAATCCAGTCGATACACTCATGCATGCGCCGGGCGTTGCGCAGCCCTAGACCAGCGAACACTGGGCTTCGAACTGGTGCAAGGCGCAAACTTGAGTGCCGCGACTGGATTTCATTGAGCAAGACTACAACGATGTGATAATATACAAAGAATCAATGTCGCAGTCTTCACCGTACAATACCAACGTCGTCAAGGCTTTCCCAAATCAATTCTGGTAGAATGAGAGTCTCAGCTTGAGCAAGAGTTTTTAGGTTGATGATGTAGAGTTCTAGTTTGATGGTGTGGAGGTTTTAGGTTGAGGAGGTCTGATCTTGATTATGTGCATGCTTTTTGAAAGTCTATACTCTCTCCACCTTGCGCAACTTTGTTCAGGTTACGGTTGAAATTACTGTGGCAGGTATTTTTCTAGCTAAAGATTTTGAGGCCTGGTTGTTCTCGCATTTCTTGGTAACTTTTTTTGGCAGGACATGCCCGAAGTTGAGGAGAACAGCGTAATTAGCACGGTTGTGGGCACAATCGTGGCTGTGGATCCTGATTACAACCAAACTCTGACATTCACACTGGATGATGATGCCTCCGGGCTGTTGGCACTTAGCTCTTCTGTCTCCTGCCAAAGGGTCACAGATATCAACGTAAGTTTGCCAAGAAATCCTGCATTGCGTGAAACATATTAATTTTGGGTATGTTCTCTGGATGCTTCACATGTGCTAGAGGTACGCATGTGACTGAAGTTGTGGTGAGCTGTTCGTATTTGACAAGGGCTCATTGAATGAAGGAAATGACATCACTCTAAGCAAACCAACTATTTCCTCGATACGTGGTGAGAAATGAGTTTCTCAGGCCGGTCATAGATAAATTGCATGAAAAGGTGTTTTTTTTTTTGATTGTTCTTTGCTGCTTCCTGCCTGCAATCCAGGGTCACCATTCTTCCTGTCAGACGCAGCTGCTTGTAGCTGGCGCATTGAACTATGAATCAGTGAAGACACATGATGTTGTTGTGCGAGTAACTGACCAGTCAGGTCATTTCAACGTGCAGAGGTTCACGGTCAAGGTGGTTGACGCCAACGATGTGCCACACGTAAGTACTGTACCCTTTCCTGTTTTCCCTTTCACCGTTTCTCTCAAACTCGCCACCATCAGCATACTTTGGTACTCATTTTGTAATTCATACTGCTCATGGTACTGGCACTGCTGCTGATATGGTGGTTTGAGGTCCTTCTTCAAGAAACCATGTTGTAATACCTGCTTAAAAATATAAAATATAATTTTAATCCCACTACGCTGCAACATTCCAGTGTGCACTGCCTGTTCGAAGTATGAATTTGATGAATGTACTGCAATGCTGACCAGCATGCCTACTTGACCCTTATTACCATGATCTCATTGATCCAGTAGCTAGAAGGCTCTGTCTTACCAATATGCATTGTTCTCTTATTTCATTCTTGATACTGTTCCAGGACATTGAAATCCTCTCGAGGACTATTGATGAGAACTCACAGATGGTGTACATCACAGACTTTGTAACGCAGGACCAGGACAAGACGCACATTCACACGTACAGCCTCGCCTCTAACCCGGGCAATCAGTTTGTCATTGTCAACAACAGCCTATACACAGCTGCAATAGCCACTCTAAACTATGAGAAACAGCAACAATGGGTAAGAAAGTCACTCCACCTGTTCCCTATAGCATGTCCAGAGGGTCATCACATTATTCCAGTACTTTTGTTAACCAGTCATTGTGATCAAAGATATTGAGAATATTCTATTCTCCAACTTCTACATCCTCATTAAGAGTCTCATTTTGTCTTGACTTTAATACATAATGACCGTTGCTGGCGTATTTTTGTGCACGCATCGTTACTCCAATCTGCAGACGATCAAAGTGCGATCCACTGACAACGGTATTCCAGCTAAGAACATCGAGAAGGCGTTTGTCATTGATGTGGTGGATGTGAATGAAGCCCCAACTGCTATCAACATCACTGGCTTCACGGTAAGAGGTTCAAGTACAAAGCAAATTCTTCAGAAAAAGAATGGGCATTACTGGTTGTGTTTCTTGCATGCATTTGTCATAGAGAGCGTAATATAAAACTGCAAACAGTTTAGGCTTAGGTGACGCCGGATGTTGCTAAGTTGATTTGTGTGTTTGTGTGTTTGTTTGTGTGTGTGTGTGTGTGTGTGTGTGTGTGTGTGTGTGTATGTGTGTGTGTGTATGTGTGTGTGTGTGTGTGTGTGTGTGTGTGTGTGTGTGTGTGTGTGTGTGTGTGTGTGTGTGTGTGTGTGTGTGTGTGCCTATGCATGATGTGTTTCAGGTTTTGGAAAATAGTCCAAACGGAACCGTGATTGGCGAGCTTCTTGTCACGGATCCGGATAACTTTGGCCCGAAGGGACACTGGCAGAATGCTTCATGCTCTGCCATGGACAATGCTGGAGGGATATTCACCATAGTCGACAATATCGTGAAGGTACATTGTTTTTAATTTGGTGTGATGGAATCGACCATCCCCCCCCCCCCCACACACACACACACACACATGCTACGTTTTTTTTCTTACAATCAGCCATGCGAGAGATTTCCGTTCTCAATGCTTATTCTCTTCAGCTCTATTGGTCTTTTTCTCCTCAGATCCAAAAGTAGGAAGAACCAATCACATCCGCACATCGTCCCTACCCCCTCCCCCCCCCCCCCCCATTGTCTTGTTGTACAGTGTCACTCCCTCTTTTTCCCTTTCCCTGATTCTTAGTTGGGCTGTGTTTGCTAGAAAAAGAGAAAAAGAGGTATTGGCGACTCCCTCGGAATACTCGTCCGTATTGCTGCACTTGCCATACTCACAGTATGCCTCATGTCTCACCTGACCACTCACTCAGGGGTGGTGTCACACACGGTGCAACCAGTACGACCATGATTGTACCACCCAATTCATCCAACAAAGCAATCAAAGAGCGCTACCGTATTTTCCAGAGTATAGTGCGCACTTTAGATGTGCTACTTTAGGCCCTAAATCGCAGGTGTGCACTATGCTCCGAATATGAAATGCATGTACTTCAATGAAGATTGAAGTGCGCGCCCCAATGAAGATTGGGGGGTGCGCGTTATACAAAGGTGCGCACTATACTTCGAAAAATACGGTAAATAAAATATGCCCTGTGGGCCGAAAAATCCGATTTATTTCCCCTGGGGGACACCCCGGACCACTCCCCACTGCCCTGTGACGCCCATGCGACTTTATATACCCATTGCCTATTTGCTTAACAGCTGCTTCCCGACGCACCAAAAAGCACCAGTAAGTGGGACTTAACGGACGTTTACCTGGCGGCATGCATTAGTTTTGACGTGAGACTGGTAAATAAATGATGCCTTGCTTCTTTTGTGCTCTTGGTGTCCGTTGTGCCAGGTTGTGCAAGCCAGTCTGGATTATGAAGCTGTTCAAAACTACACGATTGCTGTACGCTGCACTGATGATGGTGCACCCACATTATCACTGTCCTGGGTGTTCAGTGTACATGTATTGAATGCCAATGAGATACCCACATCAACTAGCATTAGCAATGGTAAGTAGGGTTCTCCTGATAAGCCTGAAGGGTCAAACCGGAATAGAGAGCATTGCTCGTGTATGTTCACCTTGCACCCATTTCGGTATCAACATGCATGCTTAGCAATCTGACATCAAATGTGGTATTGTTAAACTGTGGGCATGGTGTGTGTGTGTGTGTGTGTGTGTGTGTGTGTGTGTTTGTGAGTGTGTGTGTGTATGTGTGTGTGTGTGTGTGTGTGTGTGTGCACGCGAAGAGCTTAAGCTGAAGGAAATGCAGCAAGAAGTGACACTGGTTGTTTGGGCGTTGGTTCAATAGCCAAACGGTTCTTATGCTTTCCTTCTCATCTCCTGTGAATGTCACAGATACCCTAGATGAGAATGCTCCCAATGGAACGGTTGTTGGAATCTTCAGCACAGTCGATCCCGACAATGAGCATGCCACAGTACAGGTGAGATCTGCCGCAGCTGTGCGTGTACATGGTCATGATGATAGGAATGATGTGTGACGGATTCAGTGCATGGGTATTATGTCTTGGTAGGGTCGTCATACCAGTGCCTTCTTGTGTTGCAAGCGTTCATGTGTAATCGAAAGCATCTATGACGCAGTATGAAGCCCCAACTTCGTCTTCTGTACTGACACAGCTTTCAAACCTTTATACATGCGTACAACGTATGTTTTTGTCTGTTGGGCTGTTGGACTCAGTACAGACTGATTACAATGCTGTGCTTTGTGGAGAGTTTCGTTGTGATTATCATTATTTTGCTGATTCCTGTGTGCATCTGATTTGTTTCATCTGGACTTCTAGTCCTTCACGTACAGCATTGTACATGCAATGACCAATCTTCCGTTTGTGATCGTTGGCGATGAGCTGATTGTCGCTGGATCGCTTGACTATGAAGTCAGAGCTGCTTGGCCTATAACAGTTGAGTCCACCGATTCTGGTGGGTTGTCCACGCTGAACGTATTCCAGGTGAGTTGAGAGCAGGAACACTGTTGCTTGGCCAATGCCCGTGAAGTCTATCCATTATCCGTGTTGTATGTGTATTTTCAGACTATTTTCAGAAAAGCTCAATAATTATCCGAGAAGGCATTGACTGGAGATCTACACGGGATAAGAGAGGCCTCTTTCTTCCCTTCCTCCTCTTCCTGTTGTCAGTGTCGCAGCACTTTTCGCCTACACTCTTACTCCCCACACCCTCACATTTAGCTGACATATTTCATGTTGTACTGCACTTACCGGTTCATACACAGTCAGCCGGATTGTTTGTCCTAGCTCACATGTTGTACTCTGAGTGTGGGCCTCGGATATTCCAGCGGAAGAGGACTCTTTTTCTGTCGAAGAACTTTAAAGCAAGGGAACCATGTACGGTGTTAGTTATGCATAGAGGTTATGCGAATTATTTCATGACAGGTTTTCTAACGGGCGCCAAGTATGCAGCTTGAATTGCAAGTGCAAGTGCAGCACTGTGTCACATGTCTGCGACTTTGCTGAAGCACCTCAGCTGATGATGTAATTGCATAACCTCTATATTGTACCTACAAGCGATGTAAAAATCAGTTCTTCAAAGCCGGAATACTCCATACCCGAAACCGAGTTACTGCAAAAGCATGAATAAGAGTCCTCAAACATGAGTACTTAGTATCCAATGCAAAGAAAAAACGCTTTCCCTGTTCAGGGTAATGTATACTGGCGGTTTTCGTAGTATGATTCTTGAGATGGTGCTCTGTTCTTGTCAATCATTCTCCTGAAGATCAATGTTAACAACCTGAACGAACCACCGACAGGATTCAGGTTGTTTCCTGGCAGCAACCTAGCGGAGGATAGTCCAGTCGGGACAGACGTTGCTGACGTCCTTGCTGTGGATGATGATGACAGTGATTTGCACACGTTTGAAGTTCTTGGAGTTGCTCCTGGTATTTTGTAAGTGTCATGCGCTGTATGAGAAGCAATCACACAAAGCAGGGGTGGGGTTGTTTGATCCGAATTTTGCTAACTTCATAATTGTTGGAGTACTTGCAACTCAAACCAACACTCACGCGGAATGCTTTAAAAAAAGGACATTCTTGGATCAGGAGGCAAGAGCTGGACTCTGACTGGATAAATCATTGTCGAAACATTTGTTTGACATGTGCTTGTACTTTGAGGTGGTTAATAAGTATTTTTTTAGTTGAAATCTGCAGGCTATTCTGCAAAATATCAGTGTGTGAAATTCAATTTTTCGCGCAATGCATGTGTTCTGTGATTGTACTTGATCTCAGGCTAAATTCGTCGTCCATGGATCCAAGTCTATCCGATATGTTTGTGATCAATGAAACGAACGGCGTGCTGTCAACTGGGAACTACAGCTTTGATTACGAGACCACATCAAGTTACACTGTGTGGATTAGGACAAGGTTAGTTGCGAATCGGATTGATGTTCTCCCTTCCTTTATGTAATTCTGCCGAGGTGAATTCCAAGCGACGTATAACTGTGCACAGTCCAATGCAAGTATGGGCATACCTACAGTCCGTTCATCGGAAACTGTCCCGTTGGCTTTTGAAAGTCGGATTTGGGCCGAATTGAGGATCAAAAACCCACTTTAAATCCCAAAAATCTGGTTGAGTTCCCTTCGGGAACGGATACGATAATTTACTTATTTACTTTTTTTCTCCATACATTTTGCCATGGCCTACCTGTCCTAATTTTTGTAAAACCTGGCTGAATTTCTATTTCCCTGTTCGTTCATGGCTGGATACCACATGTTCTCATTGCTGTTTCATCAAGCTTATACCTGACACTGCCCTGCTCCCTGCTGATATTCCTCAGCTGTAGCCAGAACCAATATTGTAGTGGTTGGTGAGTTTTAATCGCTGTTGCCATGGTACATATATGCACATCATACTCCAGTATACGTGTGTGGCCTGTTGTCTTGCAACGAGCCGTCACACACTTTTGAAGGAAGTGGCTGCAAGTTACAACCTATTCGATTGGGATTTCTCACGACTTTGGCCCAAGGCAGCTCTGACTGCCTCTTTGGCCAAACACGAAGACGCAAAAGACTGGTATCCCGTCACTCCACTGTATTGTCACATGCTGCGTGGTGTGTCTTGTCTAGGTGTACACTTTAAGAACAGTTATTAGAATATCCTGGCTACTCACTAGAATGCAAGCAATACTTTTAACAAATGCGGCAATGGTGACTTGAAAGTCACTATTGCTGTATGTTCTTACTAACAATATAACATGTTGCATCAAACTGTGCGTTACACCTCTATTTCAAGCCTCTGTCTTAATTAAAGATATAGCGTGTTCCGTGAGTAAAAATAAGTAAAATTTCGTCTCTGTCCCCAAGAGAAGTCACAAAGGCTGCTAACATCCAGTGAATCCAGTGGTAGATGCAGTGCCTAACGGTTGGAGTGAGGGGATAATTCAAACAAAAACTGGCACAAGTCCTGAAAACCCTCTCAGCCGCATCCATGTATCCATGTTTGCTTGAGTAATGCCTAGTAAGTGATAATTCACGCCTGATTGTACGGGAGACCGGTACGACTTTTAGCATTTTGTGTTTGTTGAGAGGAAATGTGTTATCCGGTGTTTTTGGCGTTCCTTATCAGTGACCTTGGCCTCACACCCAGCTACGATTTTGTGGACATCATCATAGTGAATATCAGTGATGTCAACGAAGCACCGAGTGACATCACCTTGGATAATGACGAGGTAAGATATTGTATGGAAGAGAAAAGCAGCAACGTAACAGACACTGGACCTCACTGTGCTATTTCTTGTTACTTTGCGCGGACTAGCTTCACTGTGTGAGCTCTTCTTGTCTTCTTGATTAAAAGTATGCCACAGTTGCCTAATTGTACTTCAGGCCCTCACTCAGCTTGGAGTTAACTGAGAGCACCTTAGATGCACTGTGTTGCACATGTCATAGTCTAAAAACTGTTACAGGCGCCATCTTGAGGCATTCTTTGCCTGCGGTACACGCTTAGCGGTTGACTAAAATGTGATGTACGCTTCAAAATCATCTCTCACATGCGATTCTGGTTTTGTAGGTGGACGAGAATAGCCGGGTTGGAGCTCTGGTTGGGCATCTGACTGTTACAGATCCGGACAATGCTGACAGCCTCCATACCAGTTCTCAACACTTCAGCTGTAGTGTACTCGATGCCAAGTCACGATCCTTCAAGGTATTTAGCTCTGTTCCAGGTTCTGTTTCTTTCTTCTATGGGGACTGCATGTCTTGGTGATGTTGGTGGTGGTGGTACTGCTGCTGTTGCAGCTGCTGGCAGTTGTGAAGGATGGCCGAGTTGGTGGTGGATGTTGTGGTAGTCCTAAGCAAGAGGATTTTTCTTCCTATAAGAATGGCAGTATTGAAAACTAAACACAGAAGCCATTATAACTTATCCCTTTTAAATATAAGTTTCCGTGCATGGCACGGTAAGTGAAGTTAGCAACCCACCAACAATTACATTCCTAACATAATTTGCACGTACTTGCCATAGCGCATCACGTGCCCGTGCAGAACACGCACTCCGAACTCCCGCGCCCCGGCACGGGACCACGCGGAGCATGCGCATTACTCCGGCTCTCCATGCTGTTTCTTCTTCACCCTTGCTGCGCCAACAGTCAGATCGCTTGACAACCTTGGCCAGTTTTTGAGCACCACCACCCACCCCATCATCTCTGACCATCATTATATTCTAAGCCATCCCGGAAGGGAGAACGGTAGGGATCGTGGGTCAGGCCGGCATTGAGCCAAGTGCGCCTACATGTGCTCACAAGTGCATCCCTACCGTATGCGTGTATTGACACGCCGGGCAATTGTTGCCCCCATTAGCCCTGGCATTGGCCAGTCTAACGCACATTGGTGCTTGCGATACTACGGCATTGGTCCATAGTATTGCATACTGCATGCGGCAATTGTTGCCTGCGATACTACGGCATTGGTCCATAGTATTGCATACTGCATGCGGCAATTGTTGCCTGCGATACTACGGCATTGGTCCATAGTATTGCATACTGCATGCGGCAATTGTTGCCTGCGATACTACGGCATTGGTCCATAGTATTGCATACTGCATGCGGCAATTGTTGCCTGCGATACTACGGCATTGGTCCATAGTATTGCATACTGCATGCGGCAATTGTTGCCTATGCCCTGATAATACAACGCGTAATAGCTCCCAAACAGGTCGGCTTGTGTGGTTGTTAAATGCATATTAATGATTCTGATTGGTAGCAAATTGATCTCTTTCTTGAGCTGCCACAGTCTCTTCAAGTAAATAATTCTGCTACTAAACTTTGGTTCTTCTGTTTCGATTCGGAGTTTTACTTACTGTGCTCATTCTCTGCTGCGCAGGTTGTAAATCTGACTACGCTGGTGGTTTCGAAGGACAACCTGGACTTTGAAAATGACCCTACGCATTTCATTGAGGTAAGCTATTGGGAAAACATGGATACTGTCCAGACTAAGAGTATAATATTAGTCGGTATAGCAGAAGGAATGGTTGCTCATGCAACAGCAAATCAAGAACAGTGTGGATGAAAGGGCAGTTCTTTGGTATCAGTACTGCGTACCATCACTCAGCCATTTTTTTACGGACAAGCTGTTGTACCGTTAAACGAACAAACACGGAGTTCAACCGAGCTGGATTGATCGTGTGTCGAAGTTAGCAGTGAAGAAGATGCTGTACTAGAATCCGATTGTTTTCGAGAGTCCATCAACGGGGCTACACACAAGTACTCACATGATGGCAAGTAAAGGTGATTGAACCAAGGTTTACATGGGTTTACATGGGTTAACATGGGTTTACATGGGTTTACATGGGTTTACACGGGTTTCCAATGGGTTTACATGGGTTTACAATGTGCTACTTGATCCGCGTCATCAATAGTGTCGCTTATCTTTCGAAAATTTGAACTTAGACTTTGGATAATGACACGTGCATTTGAGGTGATAAAACTTGGTACGATGGAAGGCACAGTATAGGGTGACAAACATTTTTGCTCGGGATCGACTCTCTCGCTTTTGCAAGCTAGCTCATCTCTCTTCCTCTCTCCGCTGCCTGGCTATTTTCTGAAGGGAAGTCGATATCAATCAGAATCACCCACCTTTCGCTCTCGAAATCCACTCGAAATCTAGCCTTTTCCTTTCAGGTACTAGTAAAATAACTTACTAACCAAAATTGGGATGAAATGGGCTGCCAAGTGAACATTGGCGACATGAAAACAAAGCTGAAAGATAAGCGACAATATTGATGAGGCGGATCAAGTACTAGTAGTCACAACTCAGTACCCACTGTATCCTATACACTGTGTTCTGTCTGCTTGTTTGCCACTTCTTGTTCGCGTAGATTCAATGCTGGGATAATGATAAGGTCAATCCTCTCTTCATGAACAAGCAGTTCACCATCACACTGAAGAATGTCAATGAAGCACCCACCATGATTATGTTGTCTAACACCCGTGTTGCTGAAAGGCTTGGACCCCATGCACAGGTAAGACTCCAGACTGGAAAAAACATAGGCAGGTCTCAAAAGCATCAGTTGTCTGTGTTTCACTATTTTAGCCGGGAATCCTTTTGCAATTCTATCATGCGCACGGCTCTAGAGATATTTTTAAAATTTAATGGAATGTGAGCTTCCGTCCTAAGTTATGTTGCATTGCATAAACGCATCACAGGTGCAGTGTACCGGGGTTATATGTTTTCTCAATGTTTACGAAAATAATTGTTAGCTGGAGTTAGGCTCGTGTTGGTCGGGTGTTGAGCCTGGCGTGGTTATGGGTAACTTTGTAATAGAGTACAGATCATGCCTGCCGTGTGGTAGGTTAAAGCTGCATTTAAAAAATAATGGCATTCCTAATGATGGTCATGAAGACCGAAACGTTGAAACGATACTTCTAATGGATTGGTGTGAAATGCAGTGGTCTCTCGAGTGTAGGCAGGTTGCCTGCAAACTATTCAAGTGCAATGAAGCTTCGCGAAGCGTACTTCAAGATCTAAAAAAACGATGTCATAAAATGTCAAGTCAGCAATCCAATCCAGCTGCTTGGTTTGCTTTTGTACAGCTCGGCACAGTGTCTGCTAAAGATCCGGACAACGAAGTTACCCACCGCCAGAACATCACATTTACATTACAAGATCAGAATACCACAGATGTGCCATTAGTACTGGTCTATAATCACATTCTGGAGACTACAATGAACTTGGATTTTGAGAGCAGGCGTTTGTACACGCTGACTGTGATTGCTACTGATGATGGAAATCCTGTTTTATCTAGTCGAAAACAATTCAATGTCTCGGTAAGGAGTTTGAGGGCCCGTTGATACATCCCATTCTTTCGTAGGGTGTGTTTTCTCTTAATAATGTGATGATTTTGTGGGTCTCATGATGAAGTCAAGATAGTGGTAGTGCAAGTTCCGCTGTGGGGAGCAAACACTTTTGGTATGAAGTCAAGTTTATCTGAAATGAATGACTTGCCTCCAGCGTGGAGATTGTGGATTATCTATGAAACTGAGCTTTCAGTATGACCAATTCTGACGAGAGACTAGCACCCGTATAGTAAATGAACGATGTCCTCCTTGTAAGTCAGCCATGTGGAGCGTGGACGTACAGCGTATAGTGCCAACAGGCCCAGCACCACTTGCAACACATGAGCACCATGCTTGGGAGTAGATGACTGAAAAGAGCTTTGATGCGCACCTGAAATAAATGCAGGCATGGAAGTTCACTTTCATTGTTTGATTGCAAGACTTTAAAAAATTGCCTGCTTTTATGGTTCAGGTTATCAATGAGAATGATCCGCCAACTGAAGTTGTGCTGAACAGCACCGGTGTTGCAGAGGACTCACCGCTCGGTACTGACATCGGTACATTGTCAACTAAGGATGGTGATATTGGCCAGACATACACGTACACTGTTCTGCCCTACCTGAACATCACGGATAGCTGTAAGCAATCTCGTCTATGCATTGGTCATTGGTATATCAGCGCGACTCATGTGTAGTTTCCATACAAAAGGTTTGACGAAATACGCTGTTTGTTTGACAATGTCGGATTGCTCCCCAGAGAAAGAAGCGTACAGTATGAAGTATCATTACCCTCCTCTTAATGTACCACACCCCAGGTGTCTAATATGTTTGGGGAAATAGATCAAGGGTTTCAGAGGCTGTGTGATTTTCTAAAGCATTAAAAGTGGGAAATCTCAGACTTGCTATGATGGGTGGTGTATAGTTCCGTTCACTAGAAAGCCTGGACTAGCATGTTTTGTGCGTAGTTTCAGCGACATGACTTGGTATGTACGCTGAAGTCACACAATAGGTGGGCGGTGAGTCAATGGTGCTCTACAGCATTTGCCTTCTCCTTTAGTCTTATTTCGAATTCCTCCTGTCTCTCTCTCTCCCCCCCCCCCTCCCCCTCTCCATCTCTCCTCCCTCCCTCTCTCTCTCTCGCTCTCTCTCTCCCTCTCTCTCTCTCTCTCTCTCTCTCTCTCTCTCTCTCTCTCTATCCCTCTCTCTCTCTCTCTCTCTCTCTCTCTCTCTCTCTCTCTCTCTCTCTCTCTCTCTCTCTCTCTGTCTGTGTTTCCCTCTTTCCCTCTCTGCTTCTGCCTCAGTCTGTGTCTGTGTCTGTGTCTGTCTCTCTCTCTCTTTCTCTCTTTCTCTCTTTGTCATTTTATCAATACTATTGATACTACAACAATTGACATGTGACTGTGCATTCTATGTGCTCAGCTATGTTTGGTATCCATGGCAATACCTTAATCCTACTGAGGAGGTTGGACTATGAAAGTGAAGACTCATGGCCTGTCTTGATACAAACAGAGGACAGTGGTTTTCCTAGACTCACCCATCGTGTAAGATTTTCTATTTGACACCAATCGGCTGTCGTGTTTATGAGTGCACTCGATTCTATTTCCTATGCTGATACACTGTATGTTACCGCCAAACCTTTCTGGTGTTTGGAGCATCAAGTGATCAAACAAGGGTCTACGTGGGCAAGGGTCTACGTGGGCAAGGGTGTACATGGGCGTTCTGACACCAGACTTACCGGTAACTTTTTAGTTTTTCCTGCTCGTGGAAGCATCCGCTTCTCACATTCATTGTAACTGGACCAATGAACTGAGATTGAACAGATGATCACCAACTGTGGAGGTGTCCTTAGTCTAGACATTTGCACAACTGGATGTTATTGTGTATGTATTTTGCAAGCAAGTCTTTTTGTGTAATAATAATAAAAGAACAGTTCGCGTACAGGGCAGCAATGCAGTGTTAACCTTTCCGCTTCTGTAAATGTTTGTGTTCATGTACTAAAAAAATCGATATTGATGTATTCATGTAATGAATTCAGTTTAGCGTAGGCGCACATCTCGCAACTACGTATCTGCTGCGCTACAGCGCCCTCTACGGTTCTGGCCGCGGCACTTGTTTAGCGCGCCTTGCCGCGACCGGCAAGACCGCCTGCTGTGCATCACATTAATTTATGCGTACGCCATCACAATAATTAATTCAGTTTTGATCGGGTCCGAGTCCGCAACGTGGCACATCTCCTTGCCATTCTCAGTTTTGAGTCTTCTCTGCTTTGGCTCATGCCCGACTTGCATCCTGCTGCCTTTGTCTTTTGCTGACCGAACTGTCATTGCCTAGTCATGTCGGGCACCAGGAAGAGAACCCGTCGCGCAGCACCTAGCCCTGTTCCCGACCCACCTGTTTCTTCGGCTGCGGACCCCGAGCTGCCGAGTAACGCTGCCTCACCACTCGACGGCGGACAATTCAAGCAATTTATATCTGACGAAGTCCAGAAAGCCGTCACCGCCGCCCTGGCAGAAACGGTCTCCCCACTGCTTGCCACCATCGGATCCTCGCAGCCTTCCCCCGCCATGGCCGTACCCACCGGAAATGCTGCGCCAACTGGTCCGGGTGCTGGCTCTCTATCTCATCCACTGAACGTGCCGTCTCACGTGAGAGAGAGGATTTTGCGAGGTGAGTGTGTTGATTTGAATACACTGTTACCGGAAGCTCTTGGGGCACCAAAGCGTGACACGATTCAGTTGAATTTCAGTGGGTCCAGGACTGTTGAGCTGCTGGATCCCAGCTCTGGCGGGCATGTCGAGAAAGTTCGTAGGCATGTTCACGACCTGGTTACATGGCTAGAAGCCTGGTCCAGATATATGTTCGTACTATGCTCGCACGCACCCAGCCGTTTCTCCGAACTGATGGCATATCAGGCCACCATTGTATCGGCCAACTCCTCATACTATCCGGAGGCCTGGCTCGAATATGACCGGGAGTTCCGTCTGGCAATCTCTCTTGACCCCAGTAAGCGTTGGGACGCCATTGACGGCAATCTCTGGCAACTGAAAATGACAGGCCGCTCACGCCCGCAGTGTAGCACATGCCGGATCACTCACCCTCCATCGGGTAGCCAGTGCCCTTTTCGTGCCTCCCGAGTACCAAACCAGCAGTTTGCACCACGGTCTGCCTACACCAAGTCTGGCAAAGAGATCTGCCGGAATTTCCAGCAAGGTCGATGCTCCAACACCGACTGTAAATTTGCCCACGTCTGCTCCCAATGTGAGGGCGCACATGCCCGCCCCTCCTGCCCGCGTCGCTTCTCCACTGGCAACCAGCGGCAGAACAAAGCTTAATGAACTGCATCTCGATAGTAGCATTCTCCGGACACACCCTACATTCTTTCACACTTGCCGCACACCTATTCACGTTAATCGCCTCCGTTCCTTACTGCGTGCACACCCCGATCAAGCTTTTGTTAAATATGTACTTCATGGCCTTACGTATGGTTTTGACATCGGCTTCAATGGCCCACGCCAAAGCAGCATGTTCTCCCCTAACTTACCTTCTGCGAGGATGCATCCCGATTTTATTACCAAATACCTGCAAGAATGTTGCTCCCGCTTTGAACTGCTAGGTCCTTTTTCCTCCTCGCTTTTTCCTTTTTTTCATTGCTCCGGTGTTGGCTGCGTTCCGAAAAAGAACGGCCGCTTTCGTTTAATCCACCATCTCTCTAGCCCAGAGGGTCAAAGTGTTAACGATGGAATTTCACGTGAAGATTTCAGCTTGCATTACATCACTATTGATCACGCGATCGATGCCATTATGCAGTACGGTCGTTCTGCTTATCTTTTCAAACTTGACATTCGGAGTGCTTTCCGCATTGTACCTGTGCGGCAGGAAGACTGGCCTCTGCTAGGTATTCACTGGCAAAACCAATATTATTTCGACACTGTGCTCCCCTTTGGCTTACGCTCCAGCCCTGCCATTTTTAACTCTATTGCCGACTGCCTTGAATGGATTGCTCGCTATGAGTTTTCTATTACTGACCTGCTCCATTATCTAGATGATTTCCTTTGCATTTCTCCATCGGAGCTGGTGGCGAACCAACGTGCTTCAATCCTGCTTCGCTGTTTTAACTATGTCCAAGTCCCCTTGGCACCTGACAAAGTGGAAGGTCCAGCTCAAGTGCTGTCGTTCCTGGGCATCGAGCTGGACTGTGGCAGACTGGAGGCCCGGCTACCAGACACCAAGTTGCAAGATCTCCGCACCTTGCTCGACCAGTATGTCAACCGTGGCGACATGACCCAACGCGAACTCGACTCACTATTGGGAAAACTCTCCTTCGCAGCTCGGGTAATTATACCTGGTCGGACATTCATGCGCCGACTCTGGGATATTTGTCACCGCTACAGTCAGCCACACTATAAGATCAAACTCTCAGTCGAGGCCCTGGAAGACCTGAAGTGGTGGCAACGCCTCCTCTCGCAATGGAACGGAAAGTCCTTCTTTCATATGCCAAATTGGACCCCGTCTCCCGACATCCAATTGTTTACCGATGCCAGCGGTTCGATCGGCTGGGGCGCATGTTATGGCCATCGCTGGATCCAGGGACAGTGGTTGCCGGAACAAGCCGACTACTCCATCGAGTGGAAGGAGATGTTCGCCATTGCCGCAGCTTGCTCCTCCTGGGGCCTTGAATGGCGCAAGCTCCGCATACTCGTGTACTGCGATAACGAAGCCGTAGTGGCATGCCTGTCCAATGGTTGTAGCCGCTCCCCCCCAGTCATGGACCTGATACGACGGCTGTTCTTCATGTGCGCTAACTTTGGCTTCATTCTGTCAGCAAAGCATATTCCAGGATGCACTAACAAAGCCGCTGATGCTCTGTCTCGTTTTAACATGCAGGCGTTTCGCGAGGCGGTTCCGGGAGCTCGGGCGACAGCCGACCTGTTCCAGTCATTCTAACTGCCGCGGACGAATTAGCAGCACGATATGCTGCTCACGCTCTATCCGACAACACCAGACGAACGTATTCCGCCGGCGAATCTAAGTATCTCAAGTTCTGCCAACTTCAAAGATGGTCCCCGTTTCCCGCTTCAGACCTAATGCTGAGTAGTTTTGCTGCCTCCCTAACCCAGTCGGTCAGACCAGTGACTATTAAGGTTTACCTCAGTGCTATCAAGAACCTGCACCTGGAGCTCGGTTATGTCGACCCGACCGAGGGCGCGCACTTCCTCAAGCGAGTGGTACGCGGTATTTGCCGTTGCCATGGAGTAGCCGCTGTCCGCCCCCGGCTGCCAATCACGTTTCCTATTCTCTGCAGTCTGGTTGACACCTGCCTAGCTGCTCCAGCCATGTGCCCTCACGACAAGCGCTGCCTGCATGCCGCTATGCTTGCCGTGTTCTTTGGTTTCTTCAGATGCGGTGAACTGCTAGAAGCACCTACCACGCGCGGCTGTTTGACATTCGAGTCAGGGATGCTCCATGTGCACCTACCACGCTCGAAGACAGACCCGTCCGGGGAAGGTACGACGGTGCTGATCGGGCCAGCGGTGCCGCCATACTGCGCTGTGAGAGCCATGCTCACCTACCTCACTGCAACCGCCTCTGCTCGTCCAGGCAGTGCTGTGTTCATCCTGGCCAACGGGCAACGCCTCAACCGCAGCACTTTTACAGCCCACGTACGCACGCTGCTTAGCACCAGCGGCGTGGCAAACTGGCAGGACTATGCAGGCCACAGCTTCCGTATCGGGGCCGCTACCACTGCTGCCCTTGCTGGCGTCCCCGACCACCAGATCCGCTCCGCGGGACGGTGGCGCAGTGATGCATGCCTACGCTACATCCGGACACCACCGTCATCGGCCCGAACGCTGGCCAGCAAACTATCCTCAGTAAGATCATCTCCCTGACACCGATGTTTCTCAATTCACACAATTCCCTCATAATGAACTATGCTATGCTGCACTGCAATACTGTTGTGTATGGGTATGTACTGGCGGTATGGCGAGTCACTCATAACTGGTCTGCCTTTCTATTGCGGCATTATGGCCTTATGGTCCTGCCTTTCCATTGCGGCAATCACAGCCTCCGGGCTTCTGCCTTCCTGCGGCAATCACAGCCTCCGGGCTTCTGCCTTTCTGCGGCACTCGCAGCCTCACGGGCTCGTGCCTACCTTGCGGCAAAGACCAACCAGTTCCTCGTCACCAGTACTTACCCAACACAACCTAGCCTTATTCGTGTGGTGTATGCCTGTCTGCATGCCGTCTGTGTGCGCGGAATGCTAATGATGTATGCCTGCCTGCATGCCGTCTGCGTGCGCGGAATGCTAATGATGTATTCATGTAATGAATTCAGTTTAGCGTAGGCGCACATCTCGCAACTACGTATCTGCTGCGCTACAGCGCCCTCTACGGTTCTGGCCGCGGCACTTGTTTAGCGCGCCTTGCCGCGACCGGCAAGACCGCCTGCTGTGCATCACATTAATTTATGCGTACGCCATCACAATAATTAATTCAGTTTTGATCGGGTCCGAGTCCGCAACGTGGCACATCTCCTTGCCATTCTCAGTTTTGAGTCTTCTCTGCTTTGGCTCATGCCCGACTTGCATCCTGCTGCCTTTGTCTTTTGCTGACCCACCATCCCACCACTAACCATTAATACTACATTGCATCATTCCTACTTCAAGTACAATAAACCTGGTGGCGAGTCACTCATAACTGGTCTGCCTTTCTATTGCGGCATTATGGCCTTATGGTCCTGCCTTTCCATTGCGGCAATCACAGCCTCCGGGCTTCTGCCTTCCTGCGGCAATCACAGCCTCCGGGCTTCTGCCTTTCTGCGGCACTCGCAGCCTCACGGGCTCGTGCCTACCTTGCGGCAAAGACCAACCAGTTCCTGGTCACCAGTACTTACCCAACACAACCTAGCCTTATTCGTGTGGTGTATGCCTGTCTGCATGCCGTCTGTGTGCGCGGAATGCTAATGATGTATGCCTGCCTGCATGCCGTCTGCGTGCGCGGAATGCTAAAATAGAATATCTATTTGGGCACTTCAGTTGGAGGTGTTATGGCCCCTCGAAGTAGCCCAAACATGGCGTTCTATCAGAAAGAGACAGGTTTGGGGAACAACAAAATTCCAGGCTGCATATGCTGCTTTGTATAATCATGCCAGTAATGTCCATGGTAGTAGGTCATGTTAGCGTAGATTTCTAACCGAGAATACACTGGTTGAAGGCACAGGCTTCTGTGTGAGGACACGAAACCGCTATTCCTGGCCCCGGTTTGATACGGTGCCAAAATGCTTTGAAATTCGAAATTTGCAAAATTGGCCCGAAAATGATTGACTTTGTATTGCTATTTGCATTGCACTAAGTTAGTTTCATAAAGTAATGGCGAAATAATGGTAGGTAGTTGAGCTCGTTCACCTCCTGTATACAGAAATATGCGAAGAAAAGATCGTCTCTCATACTTCATTCCAGTGTATTTGATTCCGCAGTGTGTGATCACAGTAGAGTGACGCGCCCAAGAACGTTGTTTCCAAGGGGCTAGCCTGGGACGTTCTTATTTTTTCCGCAATCTGGCTGCGTTCTTACAACCCGTTCTTAGAAACAATCCGTACTGAATCATATTTATCCCACAAGCTGCCAGAAAGCCAACACCGCCCTTCTTAACTTTAGGCTGTGGCGTTCCTAGTGTTTCAGGCTGGACGTACTTGGGCTCTCCACGTTCTTCAGCGCGACTCTACTGTATAGTGCCGCACTGAATTCCGGAAAAAGAATTTAAATTTACTTATGATTCTCATCATCTAGTACAAGCCTACCTCATAGGATCAAAAGAAAAGCGAACTCCTGTTTGGAAAAGTTAGTTTTTCTTGTATTTCGGTGTATAAAATGCAAACGTGTGTGTGTGGCTTTCACAGGCCCCGAACATAGGGAAGGATTCCTGATACACTAGCAAAATTTAAGGATTGATAGCTGACTCTCATGAAGCTTCAACCCTGAAACGTTCAGCGAAATTGGGGAGAAAGTGGTTTTGACCTCGGATATTTTTCGCGATATAGGCCCGAGCAACCTTACATTCCAATAAGTCAGTTTTAAACTATTGAGCAGAAACACAAGCCTAGAGTAAAATTGTTCTCGTAGTATGTGCATATGGGTGCAGGAAAATGAGTTACATCTCATACGTTTCTAGCAGAATCCGCTTCCCTACTATGTGCCAACATGTCCAAAGAGTTACAAATAACGGTGTGCGACATGTCATTCTAACTTTTTAATTTAAATTAATTTCTCTGTCCTCTTATTGTTTGAACCAGCTCTGCCTCTCGGTACTGAGCACTCTCTTGGACAGCCTGGAACCTCTCTGGGTTTTTTTAAAATTTAAATTAATGAATTATAGGGTACCTCACTTCAAACTCTCCAACTACGGTCTCTTCGCTGCATAAGTTCACTTCACTTCCAAAAATAATAATAATATTAGATACAAATGGAATGCATTCCATTTGTATCTAATACATATATTTTTTTTTGGAAGTGAAGGGAACTTATGCAGCGAAGAGACCGTAGTTGGAGAGTTTGAAGTGAGGTACCCTATAATGTGTGAATGGCTGCAATGGAGTCTGCGAGTGCTTAGGAAAGTTTAAATTAATGAATGGAAAACATGTTTTACTGTTTTTTTGTTTCAGAATGTTGTGTACGTCAACGTCATTGATGTAAATGAGCCACCTAGTGAGATTGATATGGACTACCAGCCAACACTTGAAGAGAGCATCAGCCCTGGAACTCTTGTAGCCAATTTCACTGTTATGGACCCAGATGTAAACCAAACCCATACGTGCCACATAACGGAGGGTGAAAGTAGCTTCATTATCAGCAGTGGATCTACAGCGTCCGGCGGGGAAGCCTTCACGATTTTGGTAAATCAATATTTGTGCTGATTTTTGACACTGAAGCTTAAAACTACCTACACTACCCCCCCCCCCCCCCCCACACACACACACATGCCAGGACTAATGCACTTTGAAGTACCCCACGCCCACATGCCATGATTATAAATAAGGCTTAAGCACTTTGAAGCAGTCTGAGGTTGTGAGTTTTGCTGTTGGTGATTGCTTTTGTCAGATGAGATGATCAGGTGTGGAGATCACCTTGTAAACAACTCGCCTTTTGCACACCTCTCTCTCTCTCTCTCTCTCTCTCTCTCTCTCTCTCTCTCTCTCTCTCTCTCTCTCTCTCTCTCTCTCTGTGTTTCATTTTACTATTGTCCTGCATAGATCTCTGACAAGACAACTCTGGATTATGAGGCTGGCACGACAGTGTATGTGAAAATCAATTGCTCCGATGACGGCATGCCATCATTGTCAATTTCCAGAACAATTGCCTTCACTGTGGAAGATGTCAACGAGCAGCCCACGGGTATCCTGATCTCCGGAAATCACGCAGTTCCCGAGAACTCACCACCTGGATATGCTGTGGGGACATTATCTACTGTTGACCCTGACATGGGACAGATCTATACGTACATCCTCATTGGAGATGCGGTGAAAACATTCATGGTAAGCTTGTTTGTGTGCTGCATGCTATCATGACCATTCAATGATCTCAAGCTGTCTTTGTGATTTGCAATCTATCAAAACGGACATGGTAAAGCGTGTTATCTGACTCTAGAGGTGATGGTAATGATGTCATGGGGATGAACAAGCGGAACTGCTTACGGAGTGCTAAGTATACAGCCTGCGCGGGTAGCTTCGCTTGAACCAGTGCATCGCAGTGCTGCGGCTTTGCCAAGGCTCTCAAATTATGATGCAATCCCATAACCTCTAGACCTCTAGTGTTTGTAAAATATCGGGCATTTTCCCCACAGGTGCGAAAGGACAGCTTTCAATACAGGCGTGTCTGATACTGCAAAAAAAATGTAATATTGCAATGCCAGGCGCACTCCCACATAGCATCTTCCATCCCATGACTAGTGGCATATAGCTTTGTTTGCTTGCACCTGTGTTCATGTCTTGTTTGTGACAGATCATTGATGCATCGAATGAACTTGTTGTCAAAAACAACACTTTACTCAACTATGAGGAAAACACTCAGATCACTGTTACAGTTCAGACTACTGACAATGGCGTACCTGCCCGCTCTTTCATCCACTCAATCAACATCAGCATCAGTGACATCAACGAACCCCCAACCAACATACGCCTTCTTGGCAGTGGAGAACTGAAAGAGGATGCGGCCAATGGAGACATACTGGGACGTTTGACTTGTGATAATCCAGAGAAAGCCCAGACACTGTCATACACGATCGACTCTCCAACGCTGCAGGTTTCTCAAACTATGTTCTCCGTGTACACAAATGCATCAGGAGCGTTTGTGCAGCTTGTGAACAACACGGATATGGCAGGCACTAGTATACTAGCGTTTGTTGTTAATGTTACTGACAATGGGCACCCGCCAGAGTCAGGTCTGCAAATGATCGCAGTAAAACTGATTAAGCTTGACCCATGTGCCCAGGGCACTCGCAATTGTGGCAGTGGCGCATACTGCCAGCGTGTTAATATGTCATCGGCACTTTGTCCTTGCAAGTCGGGATTTGTTCCTAGCTCCATTCCCGACTCGTGTATGCAACGTGACGACTGCATTGCCATGTCTGGGGAGGCGATTATACTGTTAAGCCATGGTGCAGCCTCTGGATCACTACCACCAGCAGCAGCAGTGTCCTCCACACCAGTGTCAGTATGTGAAAACAATGCAACGTGCATGGACTTGACGAACGACTATGTGTGTAGCTGTACTCCTGGCTTTACGGGACAGAACTGCGAGATCAGATTTGACCGGTGCACACTACAGCCAGGCCTTTGCCAGCATAACGGTACCTGTGTGGACAGCTCACCTAACACTGGCCTAAGTTGTGTGTGCCCCATCGGATATAACGGAAGTCATTGCGATGTGAATCCAGATGATTGTCCAGGTGCCGTTTGTGGAGTAGGTACTTGCGTTGATGGCCTAGCCATGTTCACATGCACATGTCCTCCGTCAAGGACCGGCCGCATCTGTCAGTATGCAAGCGGAGCCTGTGATAGTGCACTCTGCACTGGATCTGATCAGTGTATTCCGCGCTCTTTGGACGATACATCACTGATAACTGTCAGCTCTTCAGAAAAGACCCAGTACATGTGTGTTCCTCCGTCGTTTATTGTCAATGATCGTTTCCACACCGATAGTGCACTAACCGACACGGACAGAGAGAAATGGGAAGATACTGTACGTGGCATTAAGATCATGGATGCAGATGGCAAATATATATCTCCAGATGACATCATTATCTTACCAGCAGCTACTGATGATGAGATCAGCTATGTAGTCCTATTGGATGATGCTCCTGTAGACCCGTACACAGTGAAGCATGCCATGAATACCACTTGCCATCCGCATGAGCATGCACTAGCCCAGAGACTTGCCCGGCTCTGCACCGACTTGGTGCAAGACGCTGTGGAGCCACAGAGCCAGGCCGCATCACAAGCATCTGAGCAATCTGATCATCCGTACCTTGTTTGGGGCATTGTCAGCGGTCTCTTACTGGCAGCTCTTCTGATCTTGATTTTAGTGACCATCAAAGTGCAACACACCAAGAAACTCTTAGGCCAGAGCAAACAACGAGAGCGACGTCTCCAGGCCCCAGTAGACGACAGCGATGCTCTGGCTGCGGAGTTCATGTTTGACGGCTACACCGACTATGTGTACTCAGGTGGCGACCGTCACTTCTCTCGCAATCCGCTCTACTATGATCCAGCGCTTGCCGTGAATGGCGAAGATCCTGATGGCCAGGGCAGTACAATGGTAAGCGAGTATGATGATTGTCTTACGTGTTCTGAAGTTTGCTTCTGTACATCTGCATGATGTGCTCTGTGCAGTCCACATGCCGTGTTTCCCCAGATACAAGTCACACATATTTACCAGTAAAACTCGAGGTCGAAGAAAGAAGTTCTTTGCCACTGACAATTTTTGTGCAGAACAACGAAACGTCACAGAAAGGGTTGAGACTTCCTGCCCAAGTGATTTATTTGCATTGAATAAACTTAACTTGACAGGTATCTGAAATGGATATTTGATTCCCTATCAGGTATGCCCAACCGTAATCTTTCGCATAATAAGAAGAGCATAGTCTTTTAAAAATTAAGAAGGCCGCTCTGCTTGAATGGCGACTACACCATAGCTGAGTGGTAGAGCTCCGCCGTCCTGTAGCGTTAGTACCTAGCTCGATTCTGCGGTTCAAATAGACCTAGACATTTTCGAATAATTCAAATTTGATTTGAGCTTTTTGAGAATTTTCTTCGGGATATTGCTCTGGCAGTTTCTGCAATCTTTCTCGTACGGATTTCTAGGCGATTGGATAAAAAACCGCTGGATTCGGCCTGGGTTAGAGTCCCATTGCGAGCACTCGAGCACTGTATGCAAATGCGCAAGTGGCGCAGCACAGTGTGCAGTGCCACTACAGTGTGAAGTGCCACTACAGTGTAAAGTGCCACTACAGTGTAAAGTGCCACTACAGTGTAAAGTGCCACTACAGTGTGAAGTGCCACTACAGTGTAAAGTGCCACTACAGTGTAAAGTACCACTACAGTGTGAAGTGCCACTACAGTGTAAAGTGCTACAACAGTGCAAAATGCCACTACAGTGCCACTACAGTGTGAAGTGCCACTACAGTGTAAAGTACCACTACAGTTTGCTTTTTGTTGCCGCTGAGCTTGCATGCTGCTCTTCGCCATTTGCGAGGAAAGACGAAGCATGTGTTTGTGCACATCCAGATATTGGAGCCTCGTACAAAACGTTTGACGAACAGCAGCCGATAGTCGTTGAAGATCGAAAGAGAATGATGTATGGTTTGCTTTACCAGTTTCGTTGAATTCTCGAAAAGAAGCGCAGTTGGCTTCATGCCTGCTTGAAGTCTAATCCGAATTTCGACCCCCCCCCCCCCCTCATTCTGAGTACAATCTACAACAAACATTCGAAAAGAGCTGGCTGAGCCAATACCCTTGATTGCAATATTCAAAGGAGGAAAGTGGTGTACTATGAGTTTTGTACAGTATTTCGAATCACGTGACCTAGCAAACCAGCCCGAGAATTGCCACACTACGCCCCTGGCGTGACACCTAAATGGTGGAGGGAAAGGGATGAAACTCACACCAAGTGACGCAAGTGCTAATGCTGACCTGCTACATTTATACACCCGGGGGGGGGGGGGGGGGCACACTACAAGTTCCTACTGACTGTGGATCGTCACAGCCGTACTTGTACAATTGCCCCACTTCCAAGCAGGACCTAGAACCTGATCCCTCTTGTTTCTCAATCCGACAGTCCTAGCCATACCCTATATGCCTACAGTGCTGCTAATCCAGTCGAGTCACTCAAGTACGCGCCTGGCATTGCACCCCCTAGACCTGCGAACACTGGACAGAGACGGCGCACGGCGCGGCGCACCCTTGACTCACGTGACTGGATTATATGGAGCAGCACTGTACTTACCCTCAGCTTAGCAGAATCTGAGCATTGCCTACTTCGGAGTAGAGTGTTCCTGAAGATATGCGTTGTCTGAAATATCCTATTTTCACAAAACGCCCCTATGCAATTAGAGAAACCTGTTGCTGTTGTTGCATGCTTCTTATTCCCTGCTCGTAGGTTACCTCCTCGGTTTATGATGCTTTTCAACCAAGCAAGGGAGACATGAATGACCAGGGATCTCAAGCAAGCATTTATGCCACTCTGGAGCATGTTGGTACGCTTGTCTTTGCCGAGCCACGCGGCTGATAAAAAATCTTCTGCAATGAAGGCTACAGTGCCTGCAAAGCACGATGCCGTAGAAATTGTGTTGCGTGTGAATCCACTGAACATGGTGTACATCGTAGTGTTTATTGATTCTCCAGTAGAACTGCAGGTCTGCTATCAGTGCCTTTTTCTTGATACTTGTGATCAGCAACTGGTACACCTCAGTCAAGGCTCCGCACTGACACCTGAAGTAATTCCAGAGTTGGGGATTGCTATGCTAATGCTCAGTGTTCGATCCAGCAAGGGAGCCACGAATGTACCCCACTGCACCAGGCTGAGTTTCGGACAAAGAAAAAAACATTCCGTTGAAAACATCTATCCAATTCGTACTGTCTGCAAGTCGAATGGTACATATGGTTCTCAGCATGGTCATGTAGCTCATGTAGTTTATGTGAAATATGGTGTGTGGTATCATCCAGGTGGAGAGGAAGGAGTAAATGAACTCTATTCAGAACTTCAGAATTCTGCGTCCTCTCCGTTCCCAGGTAAGTCCTGTGAAGTCCTAAACAGAATATATCCCTTCGTGCATTTTTTCTAACGATATTTTCTTGGCCTCAGCATCATAACATTAGATATAATATATAAATTACGTTTTCTAACCGAGGGCTTGACGACTATGAATACCCAGGTAGAGCAACCAGGAGCTGCGGCACAAGCTACTTGAACTGTGCTAATCCATGTCCGTTGTAGAATGCTTGTGCCGAGTTTGACAAATATTCTTGCAATCTTCTTCCTTTTTGTGTTCATAAATCCTTCAAATATCAACAGATTATCCAAGGAACTAGTGTACAGTGAGGGTAGTCAAAACACGTACTTGAATAATTCATTCAATCTGGAGTGTTGGCTGGAAGTGCGGGTCTGATGGTTATATATTGCACTGTTTGGTGTGCGTGTGTACTAGGTGGAGCCATTGGCATGACCAATCCAGTGTACGAAGGTTTCCGTGACGAGCCTGAATACACTACGGCCGCTGAGGACTACAGCGCGCTCTCTTTTGATGACGGACGCAAAATGCCTGCTGCTGTTGTTGATACTTCTACTGCCACCACCACTACCGGCACTGCTCGCGGCGTGTCTGCTGCTAATGTTGATACTGGTGCTGACTACAGCGCACTGGAATTTGGTGGAACCACTCCGACCAATCAGACTGCAGCAAACTCAACTGCCGGTACGAACAATGACTACAGTACTATCCGTGAAGCCAAATCATCTGCAGCAGGCGCAGCACGTTCATCCAGCTACAGCACGCTAGACTTTGGAAAACGCCCAAGTCACACGTCGAAAAGCCGTGCGTTCAGCACCACTCGACCGGCTGATCCATTCAATGAGACCGGTGAATCTTCCCTACAAACAACACAGCAGCGTAGAGACCGCAAAGCTGCTCAACCCCCTACTAACCTTGGTGATAGTAAGAAGCAGGTTCAGATTGCCAATCTCATCGACAGTATTGACTGGCCTGAAATGTCCTGAACAACGGAATACTGATTTGGATTGCACTTATATTGTCCATAATGGAGTTGACCGACACTCACCTGTTTTGCCTGTTTCGATAGTCCATTGAATCCTTTGGGCACTGGCAATATGATTATCGTGATGACATTCATTTGAGTACTGGGTCGTTTTTTTTCTTTTTTTCCTCTTCACTAAAATATTCTCTCAAATTTTTGTTGTCATCGTTTATCACAAGTACTTTCTCTCTCTTGAGACAAAAAGGTTCCGTTTTCGCAATAGTGGATAGTAGATGACTCATCTGACCAGAATTGCTCTGAATACTCCTGGATATGGAACGGGGAACTGTCTTCTTTTGCGTTTTGTGTCTCCTCTCCTAACTTATCTATTCTCTCAAAATTCTCACTCTTAGTGGCGTTAGTTTTACTGCATTTCCGCACAAAGCCACTCTCCACTATTCCCAGTGGTTGTGGCAAGCAGTTGCTGAATACTCATATCTCGTCGACAAGAACGTTCCTGAAAAACGGAATAGCAGACTATGTGCTTTGAGCATGATTTAGCTCGGATCTTCACAGCACTTCTCTTGTCACCACAACATTTTGGGCATGCATTTTTCTAGTTCACGTTTTGTCTTACAAATTCAGGAGCGAGATGTCCAACTTGAATTCAACAGTTTCAATGCCTGTGAGAAGTGTGTGCCGTCTAACGTAAGGGCTGCTCGACACCCAGAGCTCCTTGAGCCTGAACGAGTGCATGCTAGAGAAGCAGTTTTGTGTTTGCAACTCACATTGTGTTGCTTGCAGTCACCCAGATGATGAAGCTCAGCCGAGGGGAATCCCGCATCTCACACTGATATTTCAGTAGAAATTTGTGGTTACTATTGCCAACATGGAACGCACACCCCTTTCCAGATTTTTATGCACGGTGCTACTATTGACTAATACGGTTATTTTCAGTGTGTACACTGGTATAGTTTGCCTATGGTTACATGTGTTGCTGCTGCATGCCATAATCACTTTGATCTGGGTTTGAGGTCTGGTTGGAGTGCGTAGGCGTAGTCAAGACTAGCACTGTAACATGTATGCACATGCTGTCTTACTCACCCGCTGTAATTATTTTAGAGAATGTAACCACCGAAGTCCAGAAATGCTACAAGGGTAAAACAGGTCACGGTGTAGGATGATGGTAGGGTGGGGGTGGTGGATTTCCAGCTTCTGGATGAAACGCTGGCCAATTTTTTCAGAATTATTTCAAAAGATTGTTACTCTTTCTTCGCATGACTGTGCATGTGGTGCTCTTCCGTGTCCCACTCATTACCAGCTATCTACTAGAGTACTACATGCATACGTCATGCTGCACATGCAAGAACTAAGATCACTTAGTAGTAACTGTTGCTTTTGATTCGTTCACCATTGCACACATTAGCCTGAGCTGCATCGACTTACTGACGTCACCACCTGTACCTAGTAGATCTACATGTCATTCGTCAGTTCATAAAAGGCATAATGCCCACAATGAAGTGTTGCTGAAGTGCAAACACAGAATCATCACGGGCACACCAGAAATACAATGTACATCAGTGTTGTTGAGGAGCGGACCAGAACAAAAGGAAACTCTTTTGAAAATGTTCACCCACTCACTGGGTTTGACCCAAATCGATCTACTCCACACACTACCGGTACACTTTCCACTACTAGTATCCCCCAAATAGCCCCGTTGGGTATCACACTGCGAGATCTCATCATGAGATATTCGCCAGTCCCCAACCTTGAAGTTCAGTGAAACAGCTGAGCTACTGCACACAAAGCGAAATCATTCTCCGTCAACATGGTCACACTGCTACAGTACAAACAGAGCAAGATAAGTGCACCACGTCTACTGTAACAGTGTAAGAAGAACAGGTGGTCACGACTCACGATCACAGATCCACACGGAGAAAACAGGTGGATCCACAGCCGGGGAGAGTACCGTCGGTCAATGTCGTGCAATGATGTTATCGCATGAGCTGATTGTTTAGGAACTGGAGGTGTTAGTGGACAATTTTTAAGTCTTGTAGTTCCTTGGTCCTTTTTTCTCTTTTTTTCTTTTGTACAACAAAAATTCATTTTAATAACTTTCTTGGAGACAGGAGGCTTATCAGGGAAAGAAAAACTACAAATCTCAAGCCATTCTTCACCATCATCAGCAATAAGGACTCGGAAATTCATGAACCAGTTTTCGGGCATTCTCTTCAAATGAAATGCAAGCAAGCAGAACCAATGAAACATAGGGATAAGTAGCATCACAAGGGTGATAACCATTACAACTAGGTGATAAATTTAGCGAAGAATTTATGCACAAGGGGTGATAAGAAAAGGGAAAGAGAGAAAGGGAAGGTGAGAAGTGATACAAGAGGAACTAAACACACACACACACACACACACACACACACACACACACACACACACACACACATACACTGTGTGTAAAGACAAACACCAAATGGACGCTACGTTAACTATTATAATAATATTACTTGTACAAGTATGTTGATCGTGAATATGATTCCTCTGTTGCCACCCACCTCATTGCGAATGCTGATTGTGCTCGTGTGTATTCTGATAGCCACTTCTCTGTTTTGTCACGTACCCGTGTGCGTGGTCTCGCCCATCTGAAAGTGTTAGAAGCTATTTTATATATTTACACTACCCAGCTACCTTTGTGTAAACAAAAGACAAAATGTCATATCTCAAGTTGTTTAATGACACCCCTGATCCCACTAGTTAACGTCCATTTGGTGTTTGTCTTCACACAGTGTGCGTGTGTTTAGTTCCTCTTGCTCACTTCTCGCCTTCCCTTTCTCTCTTTCCCTTTTCTTATCACCCCTTGTGCATAAATTCTTCTCTAAATTTATCACCTAGTTGTAATGGTTATCACCCTTGTGATGCTACTTATCCCAATGCTTCATTGGTTCTGCTTGCTTGGATTTCATTTGAAGAGAATGCCCGAAAACTGGTTCATGAATTTCGGAGTCCTTATTGCTGATGATGGTGAAGAATAGCTTGAGATTTGCAGTTTTTCTTTCCCTGGTAACATTAATTTTGTAAATAGAAAAGGACCTAGAAGTTACTAGTTATGACTAACACTCCACCAAGATAACGAGATAATATGCAGTCAGATAGTGCGATAACAAGGCACACAACAGACAAGGATATTGAGACATTCGACGACCTGACACCTAGCTCCAACACATCTATGAAGCGCAAACCAACAACCTTCCAACTTGGAAGGCTCAGGTGCGGAAAGTTCCAATGAGGGAAAGGGATGCGCCACGAAGATGTGCACGAGCTACCGGTATGTCCCTCGGCAACAAAGATATCAAACGTTACGGGATGATGATGACGAGACTAGTAAGACCATTGGACAAACCTACCTAACTACAACTTCGCTTGACTTCCCCTCTTCATCTATTTTTTAATGCCGGCTTTGAGTATGAAAGCCAAGTTAACCCACGTGGGCACATGCGTAGTGATGGTCTCATGATGCGTATCATTATTATTATTCTGTGCGAGTATGGTCTGTAATACAAGTAGTAGTATGGACGAAGCAGGTTCTGGTGCAGGGTTGAACCCACTTGACCTTATGAATGGGTACTTGAACTCAGGGGTGTTAATTGTGGCCACTTGAAATCTGAAGTGGTTATTAAGTGGCCCAGGTGTCACATGTAATTGGGTTAATGACTAAGTGGTTTTGAAGTGCCTTTCGGTGACATAAGTGATTTTAAAGTGGTGGGTGTGGTTTTAATAAGGTTGACTGTCTGGGATGTGGTTTGAAAGTGATTTATGATGTCCTTGAATATTCTAGGTATTGCCAGACTAATTAAAACTAGGTCTACCAGCAGTATGATCCCATAGGTTTTGTATTTTAGGATGTGTGACTCATGGGTGAATTCATATACATGTATGATGCGACGTTTACCGGAACCTGTGATCAGTTAGCATCATAGGTATTCATTATTGTCTTGAAGAGAAATTTTAAATACTGCCTGCGTACAAGGAGAGTCAACGCACCGGCGTTGAGCATGACGATGACCCTTGTCATGTTGCCCCTCCTCCTACTCCAAACATTGACAAATGTTGGCATAATCATCAAGTTGTGAATGAGGGACACTTTGTGTGTACTGTATTTGGACTTGTTCTTGATAACCGTGTTTTTGCCCGAGGTGAATTTTTCAGAGAGATGTATTCTCCCATGGCTATATGCCGCTCGGGAGCGATTGACTGCCGTCGACAGACATCTGGTACGCTTCATGGAAAAGACCGGTGTCCTGATGAACCTTCACGGTGTGCTGGAACTGTTGCAGTACATGAAGAAGGATAATGGCTACAAGAGCCTGAACTATGCCATAGCTCTGACATGCATCTGTGCTGATGACGACGAGATTTGCCAGAAGCTTCCGTCATATCTTCCAAAGAGCCATGTGGCGTGGGCACGATCCAGCAAGCTAATGAGTTGCAAACCGCAGCAATTTTCGAAAGCCTGGCTCCGCCAGCTTCTAAACCGTACAAAGCCTCTTGCCTCTTTTCAGCTGAAGAAGCTTAGGCAGAATATCGCAGAGTTAACAACGCAACAGTCAAGCAGTGGCTTGCTGACAACGGCAATAGCATGCACAGCACTCATAACGACGGCAAGGCGGTGGTTGCAGAGCGATTCAACAGAACGCTCAAGTCACGCATGTGGAAACACTTTACAGCAAAATCAACAAAATTAATGTCTACATCAAAGTGCTACCCAAACTTGTACACGACTACAACACCAGCAAGCATCGCAGCATTGGTTTGACACTTGCTGAGGCGTCCGAGGAGCGTAATACACCGTTTGTACAGGATCGCTCCAGCAAAAGTCCAGATGCACGCACAACGCGGCGACGCTATGCTGTGAACGATGAAGTGAGAATTGCTGTGAGCAAAGCTCATTTCGAAAAGGGCTGGTAGTCCGCGATGGTGAATCTCTTCGTACACACACACACACACACACACACACCCGCGCGCGCGCACACACACACACACACACACACACACAAACACACACACACGCACACAAACACAGGTGTACAGTCATACACTTATTATTAGTCATGCTGAAGGGCTCACCTCTAAACGTGAATGTGTTCTTCAGTACACCATCAGAGCGTACGACAGCATACGATACTGCACATGGCACGTGTTCAGCTTCACACACAGATTGCTTCCCATGGCGCTCTGAAGACGTTCCTTTCAGCAGACACTCAGTATCAGCAAAGATAACATAGGGCATTTTCATCTTCCGCTGTATCTCGGTGAACCTGAGCTGCTCGTCCGCTTTTGGCATCTGGACTGTCGCTGCCCTCACTTCGCTACAGTATAGTTGATGCTTCTTCAGTGTGGTTTCACTGTGATTTGCAGAGAGGCATCGCATGCAAAAGTACTTCTTGGCCTTGGACTTTGTCTGGCTGGCACATAGAGCGCTAAAGGTCTTTATCCAGCAGTAATGGCTAAGGAGATCATCTTGCAGGATCAGGAGATTTATTGGATTGTCATTACCTGAAGAGCCCACTTCAGACACTGCTCATCGTCCTTCTTGACATTGATGATGGCCTTTGCCGAGGCTAACCTTTTAGGTAGAGGAAGGTACGACGACATGCGCCATTGGACGATCTTT